TTAGTGACTCAGAGTAAAATGATCAGAATGTTTTTTAACCTATGTACAAAGTCAATACACAAGATTTGGCTTGTAGAAATGTCATGAATATTTGAAGAAACAGAAGCTTTCAAATGGCTGTCAGGTTGAGAGAACACAGCTCTGTTGCCTGACCTGTCTTGATGGAATTTAACCAATTATAGAATGTCAATTCTTTATTGATTTTATTGATTTGGTATTAAATCATTCGTGCTGCCACCTCTCGTGTACACATCTAATTTATACCTGAACTCAGGTAACACAATGGACGTGTAGTAGCTGCTATTATGCAAGATTAATTACAACATACATGCAAGATATGTTGATCAAAGTATGGGTCGCAGGTATGAAAGGGTGTAACAGTCTTCCTGAATGTTTAATGATGATTAAAAATACGTGGGATTCAGTATTTGAAATAGACATCAGCCCGAAGGCCCGAGGCCGACAGATTTGTTCCCTTGAGGATAGTTTTATATTTCAGCAGGCCCTTATGGCCTGCAGATTATTTTACGCTGGAAACATGGTAAGTGAAAGGTCACATGCAACCAAAAAATTAAACATAATTAAAACACAATTATCACTTATTCATGACATATAATATACATTGCTGATTATGAAAAAAACATTTAAACAAACTTATAAGTGTACAATCGCAAATCAAAAGTGCAATATTTTGTACTTGGGTTTACACCCCAAGAAACGAAGCAGCCGGGATACCGAACCCAGTCAGAGCGGGTGGGTCTGCACTCAAGTGTAACGGCTGGTTCATTTGCAGATGCCCTCACGGCTTATTGTGTGTGTATATTCGTTGGTTTCACATTACTTTTCAACTTGCTGTGCCCATGCGCAGAGCGTCCGAAAAATATCCACTGACATGTTTCCGTTTTGGTCGTATGTTTATCGATAGTGTAAACACTCCAAAGAAAACAAAAATCAAAACAAATATATAGTTTTATGTCGAATATAACTGATCCCAATTGATTTATGAAACAGAGGCCAGTATTAGTTAAATAAATAGCTTCATTTATGTGAACAAGCTCTCACCACCACCGTCCTTCCCGCACATCACCTTCTCACAACTAAACAAACACATCTCTGATGGAATTGCAACCAAAATAGGACATCAATTATTGAAAAGCAGGGGCAAATGGAAGTATGTACTCAGCTATGAACAGTTGTCACAACGCAAAATAATTTTCATAACAGCTTTTATTTAGAGTGCATTTACACTATCGATAAGCATCACGACCAAACCGGAAACATGCCAGTGGATATTTTTCACATGCTCTGCGCATGCGCACATGCACAGCGAAGTTGAAAAATAATGTGAAACCAACGAATATAACAATCTTGGGTTGTGTAAATACATGCTCATTTTTTGTGTATAACATTTTGCAATCAACAGACATCATAACATGTCATGTGTACAAGTATCACATCTGCCTGTCTGTGTAATTACATAATGTGACAGAGACCGAACTCGGGCCATAAATTAATGAGTTTTGTTTATGGTGTATAGCCTGATAGGTGTTAAGTTCAAATTGCATGTGGTCAGTGATCGAAGTTGTGTATTGAATATTGTCATTAGCAGACAGGCAGGCAGACACATAGGTGTCAATAAAACAGACATTGAGTTTTGTCTGTGACAACGACATATCTATATCACAGTTAGAAATTCTGTCAACGCTAAATAATGACATTGCTTTTAAGTATCGAACTGAGAAAGTGACTCGGTAAGAAGAACGTGTGGTGAAATAGACAAATGAAAGCATATTAACAGTTCAATCGGAAATCTACTGTCATAACATATAAAAAGCTTGCACCTGTGAAATATCAACGAAGCATTAGAAAAATAGCTCACACCAAAGCCTTCACCGAGTATTCACCGGACAACCCGCTTCCAAGCTGCGCGAACCTATTTCACTGCGCATGTGCTATGGGTGCAGCCCGGCGCAGCGCAGCCCAGCTGTTGAAACCACTTTCCCCCCAAGCGCTGGGGAAAATTAGTGAATCGTTCGAACTCTGATTTCGCACGTTTTTTTCATCGCATTATTTTTCATTTTTATAAGTTGAATTTGCATTTTTGATGATTTGTTTCGGTAAGTCCATACCGAAAGGTATCAGAATCTGCAAAGTTGTGTTTTACCTTGCATGTGACCTTGAATCATAACACTGGGATACTTTTGAAAAACTAGGTCCAGCTTCAACGTACTCTGCTGGTTAATCAGTCACGCGGGGTTGGAATTTATGGTTTACTCAACACAGAGCAGTAGGTGTCACATTGCTTGATGTTGATGCCATTACTGCACTGCTGTAGAGCTCTTAATTATTTTTTCTGGGAGCTGATACACTTTGTCTGTTTGTCCCCAGATTTCATTGAAAGCTTGTAGCATACCTGGCAAACATAACATATATATATTGCTTGAGTATGTTTGAGCCTACAGTTTTCCACTGGGCCAACAGTTTTTCCAGGTGTTGGCCTTTCAGGCTGTTCATTTACTCTGCTGAGTTTCAGACTCAGGGCCTAGATTTTCGAAGCTCTCTTAGCGCTAAGATAGTCGTAAGTTAATGTTAATGTATGGCACTTATTACTACCTTAGCGCTAAGAGAGCTTTGAAAATCTAGGCCCTGGTCTGTAAACGCTAATGTACCTCGCTGTACAGGCAACTGTTACGTGTAGTTTGGACTCATTCGGGATCAAAAGAAAGGGTTAGCAGTTTCAGTGTTAGAAATTATGGGGCTCTGAAATGTTTTAGCAGAGTATTTTAATCTGGACCCCTTAAATATTTAGGATTATGAAGATGGCTCATGAAAGTGTATTCCTTATTGGACATACAAATGGATGTAGGTTTTAAAAACTTTACCTTTTATATAGTATAGTAGGGAGTGGGTCTGCCTGGCAGATTAAAATGTTGGCAGTTTGATCCATTTCTGCATCATTCGCAAAGGCATTTGAAGGTAGTGCATGTTGTTACCCTGCGAGTCTCGTGGCATTCAAGGGGACAAGACAAGGACTTGTTGAAGTCAGTATCCATTAGTGGTGGTCCGATTAATTGAAATGATCGAAGATTGGTCGTAGTGACTAAACGACCAAGCAATCCATCATTATTTCTCGTAATCGAACACAAACAATTCTGGAACACTTGTTTTCATAAGCAATATTTTTCACATGGTTGGTTTTGTCTGTTACATTTCGTAAGCATTACAAGCTCGTTTCAAGTCATGATTGAATTTTTCTTAAAGATTCCAAGAAATTTATGTTCCTAACATACTAGCCATCCTTTAAAGATGTGAAATTTTGCCAGAAACCCCATAGAACTACATTTTGTTCCTTATTTTTATGTGCATTAACAAATTTCATAAATGATGCTAACCAATTATTTTCGAATATTGATCGGTAGTAATGAACCAATCATCAATTATGAGATTTTAACCAATTCCCAACACTAGTATCCATGTTAGACTGTGGCTTGAAATTTCAGTGGGCCAATGTGTAAACTTAGCAAAATTCAATAATCTTCTTATTCCTGATAGACTTTTCGAATCCTCAAAGGTCAAGCTCATACAATAGAACAATCTCACTCAAATGCTTTGGATACACATCCTCAAAAAGTATTAATGTGTGCATCTTTAAACTTGGTGTATACTGTTCCTAGGGTGAAGCAACATCAAGCTTACAGTGAATGTTTCTCAGTTTCTTTCTCAGTTACCTGTTTTCAGCCATGATAAGTTGTCTTTGCATAAATCTTAGAGATCCATACAACTTGTGTTAGTAAACTGTCTATCAAAGGTCAAGGTCATCCTTCTGTTTTATTGTCAAATCTTATCGTATATTATCTTTGCAAGTTACTGTTACTTGTAAAGTGCTAAGACTTGGGCTATTGTTAGATATAAAGAAATTGTCTTGGGTATGATTGAGGTCTGGAGTGAGTTAAGTTTTTTCACGTTTAGCAATATTCCAGCAATATCACAGACACCAGAAATGGGTTTCACACAATGTACCCATGTGGGGAATCAAACCCAGGTCTTCAGGGTGACGTACGAACATCTTAACCACTAGGCTACCCTACCACCCACTCGAAGTCTGGAAGTGCATGGGGTTACATAAAGTCTTTATATTTTAGGAAATGTCAACGACAGCTGCTTCTGGTTTTGCAAGTAAATGCATGTTTTGTTTGATGAAAAGATATGTGAACGGGATACATTGAGGTTGTTACTGGATAAGTGTCCATGATTGTGCACAATGGTTGAAGTACGTGCTTGATGACGGAACTGGATTGGGTTGTCTCAGAATGTTGATTGTGTGTAATCAGATCCCAATGGTATTGATCAGTGCGGCCACAGATTCAACTTAGTACAGACGGCCTTGTCTGGAGTATTGATATTAGTCGGGCAGATAGATTACTGCAGTTATTTCTAGTTTGTTCATTTCTTGCCATAGGGTGCTGTGTAAGTGGTAATTCTAAAGGCTGCTCAGGGGTAGCACACTTGATCAAACATCATGGGATGGATTAGTCTTATGTTAGTTCACTGTGACAGAGTCAGGGTAAGCTTATATCATGTATATCATAAGTCCTTGCCCTAAGTCTGTCCATTAATTCATCCTTTTGTTGCTCAAAACTCTTGTTCTCCATATGTTCTATAACCATTCAATTTGTGAATGTTTTATCATATGTGAATTTGTGAATATCATTTACTGACAAAGTTCAGTTCAACATCGCCTCACTTAAGTTTGATTTATTCAGGGTGTGTGAGCTTCCATTCCTCTGCTTTCTCTTGTTAACATCCAATAAGCTAGGCTTTCAGTACCTTCCTTGAGTGTTCTAGTGTTTGAAGTGTAGTTTAGAGGATGAATAAAAACAAAAACAGAATTTTAGTACCTCGAGTCTTCTACTGTTTAAAGTCTGTTTTGGTTTTGATTCATCCAAAGAAGGTGAGCTTCTGTACCTATGTTTCTGATGTGTTTGCATTCTGTTTTCCAGGAAGCTGTAGAACTTTGGCGAGCTGACTGAAGGTGATAAAGCGGATGTACCGACAGCTTCTACCTGACATCCAAGCCATCCAGAGTTATATTTCTACTGCTACCCCCATGCAGCACCCTGTCAGCTGCCAGTGTGGACTCCAGGCAGATACACTGATACACAGACTGATATAAATAGTGTATGTATGGATTAGTTGATACATTGTCCCCTCACAGCGATGTGGGAACGGAGCATGCCTTCTTCTGTACAAGTTCATTCTTGTGTGAATGTTGTTGTTCAGTATGTAAAGTATAAATATGGTTGCAATGATGAAGTAACTTTCTGGCATGCACTGGCAAATAAGAAAATAGTGTTTGAAGCAGTCCATTATGTTGAAAGGGAGATTGGGGAAAAGGGTTGTTTTAGTTGTTTTGGGGACAGACCATGATTTTGGTCGCTTTTGGTCAAAACATACTTTTATTCTGAATAGTGAACCCTTACAAATTCAATGTAGTTTACACACCATCCAGTGGACAATTTTGGTAACAGGCCCTCCAATCCCCTCTTCTGCCTGTTTGTGATGACATGTGAAAAATTAGTTTTTTCATTATTTATCTTGTGTATGTTGCCTTGATAACTAGTGAACAGTGACTTGTTTCTAGTAAAGGTTGCATTTGCCTCCTCCAAGTGCCATTACAATGACATTATGTAAAACTGGTCTACAAGCCTTGAAATGTACTTTAGAAGTGCAGTGCACTCATTGACTTCTGCCAAACAAATGTATCTGTATACTACGCAGTCCCAGTGTGAACATATTCCTCAGTATTGATTGGCACTTGCATAGCTAAACATTGAGTAAATGACCATTTGAAACATTGCCACATCAATCGCTTGACGCCACAGAAGTCTGTGAAGCTTTGTACAGTTACTCCTGACTTTGCAATGTTAGAATTTAGACGTGTGATATATAAATAATATGTGGACAGCATTGTTGTGGATCTGCAGTACAATGTGTGTTGAAACTTCAAATATTTGTTTTTGGATGTCAGAGTGACATTTCTCGGGTACAGGGTATGCCACAGATTATGTTGTTGTCGATCAGTTATATGCGTCAATACTTTGTGTTGTAAGTTGTAGTTCAAAAACATGCCATAGTATTTGGGTCACAGATCGAAATATGTGCACTTGGCTGTGTTGACAAGATAACATGATTCCTGGTTGAGATGTGTACAGTGAAATTTCCAAAGTAGAAACCCACTTGTTGTAGCATGCCTCTTCTGAGTTGAACACATGCACATGAACACAACTAAACAATTGCTCTACCGTGATTGTGATCATGGTAAAATCTTCTTTAATTATGATATGTTTGATACATTCAAAGTATGTTATATGCAACATATGTTATATTTGGGATTACACTTCTCAGTAAAGTACAGATTCTAGTACTTTTGTTGGGTTGAGTCCCATGCGGGATTCGAACCCACACCCTTGGAGTCAGGCACCTAATTGCCAGCACACAAAGGAGGAAGTCGCAGTGGCTGAGCGGGTTAGGCAGCTGACTTTGTGTGTTGGCGTTTAGTGTAATCCCAAATATAACATGTTTCATTTGACCACTTTCGAATTGGCATTGTATTCATATGTTATATACATTCAAACTAATTGGATATGGAATATTGGAAAGGTTACGGACCTCATGCATACATTTCCTCATTTATCCGTGCTTTCAGTGTTCCACGTTTGTTTTTCTTTGTCATGAAGAATTTGGAAATATGGAATGACATTGTCAGTGAATATGTTTGTATTTATTCTCAAATAGTCCAAATATATCTTTCTGTCAACAGAAATGAAAAGATGAAAATTAAACCAAGATTGCAGCAGACTTGATGTTGAGGCAGTGTGCTCATTGTTTTTTCATGTTAATCCCTCCATGGATACAAAAGTATATTGAGATAGATTGTTATTAATATATGTGACAAGTGACATCATTCAGCACCAGCCCCACCCACTATATTTTCAGTCAATCAGGAAACAGTAGTCTGCTTGTGGGTGTGGCCTAAAGTTTTTCAAGATTGTGGATACAGAAAATTTAAAAGTGATTGCTTAATAAGCCAATTGAATGACAAGAAATCATAATATTTTTTTTAATGTCCTGAAAATGATTTGATTATTTAACCATCATTGTTGGTGTTTAAGGTGTTATCAATACACAGTGTATATATTTCACAGTGCATCATCCAGTGTTATGTAAACGTGCCAACACGCTGCTTTGACCGTTTAGTTTGCAGATATTTTATTCCGGATGACTTTCAAAAGTCTTTCATCATAGTAGCCAATCACATTGTATATTTCATGGTCACATGTTAATGTTTTCCGTCCATTTATTTAATGTTTTTATGTTTATCAAGCTTTTTTGTTCTAGTTGTATTATATTATTTCGTGTTTTCATTCGTTGACATAATTAGCATAGTTGGTATTGTACTCATTATACAGAAGCATGATTTGGACAATACTTGGATGTTGTTGCTAGAATGGGTGTGCTTAGAAGCTATTTCACAGCAGCTATTTCCAGGGTTGATTCTTATTGTTGATTATGGGAGCAGTAGGGTGGCCTAGTCACGCCGAAGACCCAGGTTCAATGGGTACAATGTGTGAAGCCCATTTCTGGTGTCCCCCGCCATGATATTGCTGGAATATTGAAAAAGGGGCGTAAACCTAAACTCACTAATTGATTGTTGATTATGTAGCCTGTGTTATGTCAACGAACTGTCATTCCTTGTTTAAAGACAAATCTCTGATATCCCATTCAAAATTTGCTTAAGTATTCTGGCCAATTTTCCTCAATGGTGTGTCGTAGGAGGCGACTAATGGGATCGGGTGGTCAGGCTCACTGACTTGGTTCACACATGTCATTGTATCACAAATGTGTAGATTGATGCTCATGCTGTTGATCACTGGATTGTCTGGTCCAGACTTGATTATTTACAGACTGCCGCCATATAGCTGGAATATTGCTGAGTACGGCGTAAAACAACAAACCAATCGAAACCAATCCTCACTGATGCTGTGGGCTGGCAAAATCTCCTCAGATTATAGGAGAATTTTAACGAAAAGGTTGCAAAGAAGATTCCACAGGACTCACAGAAAATGATACATGTCGCAGTCGTTTATACTAATGGATAGTGATAGCAAGTATCTGCATCATGGAGTACTGAACAGTAAATAATGATTTAGTATGTACTATTTCCCATCAGTCATATCATAGCAGTTGTCAAAGTTGTTGCATTTTAAGTGATTATATTTTGTGATCCTTGATTTTCTGCATTTCAGTTGTCAGTCAAGACTGGTTAACGTGTTGCCCTGTCATAGATGTACATTTATACTGACGTTGCACTTTGTTGCCAAAATATTTCATGTTAATTGTACGAGACAACTTGCATACCTCAGATGTTAATAGCAACTGCATTTCCTCCAAACTGACTGCTTCTTTAAAAGAATGAAATCAGTTGTATTGTAAGTAGTTTTGTAATGGTCAAACACTCATTGGTTTGCTATTTGTGCAACTATGACTGATAAATATATTAAAACATTTAGTTCCTGAATAATTCTTGCATTTTAGTGGGGGAATTGTAACCCATAGTGCAGGTTCAAGGCCAGCCCATTTGATTTTCTTGTTGATCAGAAAAACCCACTTGCAAAATGAATAATTAAATTAAAATAATTGATTATTGAAATAGTTTTTTCTTGAAACATCTTTGTGATATGTTGTAAGGTTATTTTAGTAATTGAATCATATCAATGATGTTTGATTTTGATTTGTAATTGTTAAATATTTTTCTCTAGTTTGTCTAATGAAATAAGCAAAGTGACAATTGAATTCATCAGGACTAAATCAGCAGCTCACTGCACATGTTGATCAAAAGTCTGATTCACAGCAGATGAACTGGTGTGTAGTCTTTAATGGCTATTATGTTAATAACATTTGTGCTGCAGGATGGCTTCTATTGTAAATTGATTGCTTCCAGAATAATAGAACAAACACATTTGAATGGCTGCAGAGTTATGAATACCTTATATGTTTTTTAGGCAAAGTTGCTGGTTGACTTGAGCTAAATTAAAATGTTAAGTCAGAGCATAAGGAATGAAGACCTTTTGATAATGAGACTTGTAGTTTTACATGTGTGGATGGACGTATTGGGAAATATTTGCTGGGACAGAACCACTACCAGTTGGAAGTTTATAAAGCATACTTTTAAATAAACATAGTAATTTTGAAATTATCATTCTTTGGTTAAATGGATTAAATGGATTAAATCAAAGTTGTGTTTCCTTATTGTCCCAACTAACAAGAAATGATGTGTCGGAAGTGTCAACTTGTAGACTGTAAATGGCGGTGTATTCAAGGATTTAGGAGAACACAATAGTGCTTGCCCAACTAAATGCAGAGAATAAATCAGAATATAGCAATCCACCAGTGTTTTATACTTTGTGAGACTATGAATGCATTTCATTATTTCATTTGAGCATGAAATCATAATAAAGTTGCCATTATGAAGACACCAGGACTGTTTTTGTCCTGTATCATGAATCTCTCTATTGTTCGTAGTTAATGAGTTGTTATAAAAAATCTATAATTCATGCTGTGGTTTGTTTGTATTTGTTTGAGAGTGATGCTGTTTGTTTGTATCTGTGTTGTCCTGTCACTGATTTACTTGAATGGTCTCTGATTCCCAATAGAGACTGATGATGGAGAAGTGTTTCTGTGAGATGACAATATACCTGTACAATGTCCTCTCATTTATCTCCAGACAGATGAGATTGAAAAAAAATGAGTGAAGAAGTGATAGAGCGTTATCTGGAGTAATAACATGTTTTTTGCTGATTTAATGAGGCATTACCAAGAGAGGTATGCTGGTAAATAATGAGGAAAATAATCAGCTTATTGTAATATCTTTCAAAGAGAGACTTTGATGAAGAAAACCTTTAGTTTTGTCCTTAAGATTGATCAGTGGAAAGTATTGGCTCATTTGTTTCTGACATTATAATATAAGGCTGTGCTTCAGTTGTGGAAAACTACAATTTTTAAGTTAAATTTCAGCTGCTCCATAAAATATAGTGCTCAGATACAGCTAAATGTGGGATAAGCTAAACTGCCTTGTCCCATTATCTTTGTAGTACTTTAAGTAATACACGTTTCAGGTAGTTGTGAAAATGTGACAAAGAAGTACTTCATTAAAGGCTTTGGTGAGGAACAGATATATGTATTTTAAGTTTAGAAAATCAAAAATGGTTTTGTGTGAGATCTTGGGGGATTTGGCATTAAATGATTTGTCAGTTTTGTGCAATATATGAAATTATTGTTACAGATTTTATTATTTTGTAGATTGTTTAATGTTGGTATAGATTTTAAATGGACAAACAATATGAAGGTATCTTGTTTTAATTGATAAGACAATGTTACAAAACAAGAAATTCATTTGTGGATAAAAGTTCTTTTTATGTTCTCAGTTTTACATTGATATGATCAGCAACAGAATATAGAAATAAATGTATGTATTTAACATTTATTCTCCGACATTAAACAAAGTTTATATAGATACATGTGTATGAAATCAACAAGTTTTGTGTTTGTGGGAAATGCTTTTTTCACATTTTGTGAAAACACAATCCATCATGTCAACAAAATTGTATATTTGTAAAAAGGCAGAATTATCATGTGTTTCACTGATGCAGGCAAACCCTGGAAGAACAAGACTGATTGTTGATTATGTGCATTCATGGTAGAATGTGGTCTTTGATGATCTGAAGTATTACACTGTTGAAGCATTCATTGTCCTATCATAATGTCTCAAGTAATATCACATGTCACTTTGTTGATAATAACTTCACTGGCACAATGGAAATCGTGTCTTTTACAGTGTCCATCATGTTTTGTTTCCAGGTGGGTATGTGTGGCGCTCTTATTATTTAATACTTAATTCAAAACAGAAACAGAAAACTGAAAAAAGCACTCAGGTATAACCATGAACGTCTCGTTGTGACATGTCCATATGATCTGGTGGTGGCTTGTAACAGGTTGCACATTTCATTGTAGCACTCAGTGTGAGGTACATGTACTTCGGTCATACATTTATAATTTTTTCATGAAAACAGCTAATTTTCAGTATATTAGAAGAAAAGCTACCCACTTACAATTTTGAAACTGCATAAGTCTGTTTTGCAAATATTTTTTTTTTTTTTTTTTTGTCATGGGAAATAACCGAGACCAGATTTGCATATTTGCATAACTAAATTACATGAAGTGCCATAAAATCCCCCCCAGTCTGCCCCCCCACATGGCCAGACCAGTGAGCTGCATACATGAAGCCTGTGTGATGGCTGGTTGAAGGAATGGACAGATGCAGTAGAGTCGTGACCGGTATTATATGTGGTATGGGACTGAAACAAAAATCATTACACGCCAGAACAATGGCAATAAGATGACTGTGTTGTTTTCAGTGTTTTAGTTTCAATGCATGTGTATCTATATGCACCTTTCTGCACAACTTGATTTCTATTCTGACTGAACTGGAATCATCTTGAAGGATGTGCATTCAACTACTTATAACAAACACCAGCATCTACATCTGTTATTTTTATTAGATTTCGATATTCGTAACAAATGGTGTAACTTGTTCATATTTGTAGGAGAAACTGTTATTTTTGTAAAGGAGAACAGTTGTTGTGTGTAAAATATTCCTTATTTATTAAAAAATAAATACATTAATTTTAACTTGTAGTCATTCTCACTAATTTGTGAGTAGTTTCAATGTTTCCAGTTGCCCCAAAAATGTAAAAAAATATTTTTGTAAAATGAGCAGAGATCAATAAAGAAATTTATCAACTGTTTTCTTTATCTTATTTTCTTTTCATATTGACCAGGCTGATGTAGCCCTGTGGTCAAATATGCCTTTGCATGCTGTTGGCTGTGGGTTTTAATCTGTGGTTTGGCAGTGTCAGACCATGACGATTGTTGGGTTTAATCTAAAGTTTGGCATTACCATGCCATGCCGGTTATTGGGTGTTAATCTCAGGTTTGGCAGTACCATACCATGCCAGTTGTTCGGTTTAATAGAAGGTTTGAAAGTACCATACAATTCCGGTCGGTAGGGTTTAATCCAAGGTTTGGCAGTAGTCATGTTGAAAATTGGCTTCAAACCATAACCCCAGGTGCCATCATTGAGCAGTGGGATCAAGCATGAGTTGGGTAAGTGGTTTTGTGAAGAACATCTTCCCAGATGATGAACAGAAGATGTGGAGGACAAGACATGAGCTCATTTCACCTTCATTCAGGGGAGATAACTCACAAGATCGCCTAGTGTTGAAGATGAAAACAAAAGAGATTATCTTTAACACATTTATTCTTAAATCCATACATACAGTACTTTAACAAACACACCGACTCTGAAACACAAAATTTGCCTATTATAGTCTGTCAATCACCACAGTATATCTCCTTCAATGCACACATATCTTCACATTCAAGGAAAGGGAATCTACTATCACTGACAGTATTAACTTGAATAAATCACATCAAAGAGAAGCTGACAAGATGGTCGCTTTGGAAAACAGATACACTATATCCATTTTGTCTACTTACTATCTGTCTTTGTCCACTTACTGTACTATCTACAAGTCAATGAAGATTACTGTCAATGGACTTGTCTTCAGCACAACTTAATCGTATGCTAGCAGCCATCATCAGGCTGCTAATATTATGTTTCAGGTTTAAAGTTTCACAAAACATTTTTGACATAAAACAATTGGATACATGATTGATACCTTTCATGCCGTATAGTTAGCACTGAATGTACAGGGAACACAGTTTGACAATGAGATCTGACAATAATACGGCAAGCGTTATATGTTGGTATATCGTATATAACATCTTCTGAATACCTGGGAAGGCAATAACAGAAACCTTATCAAGTCTGCATGTACTCAAATTGTCATAACAGAGGGTGTCACGGTAGCAGCACTTCCTGGAATGTGGGGGCGGTGGGGTAGCCTAGTGGTTAAAGCGTTGGCTCGTCACGCCGAAGACCCGGGTTCAAATCCCCACATGGGTAAAATTTGTGAAGCCCATTTCTGGTGTTCCCCGCCGTGATGTTGCTGGAATATTGCTTAAAGCGTAAAACCAAATTCAGTCAGTCAGTCAGTCCTGGAATGTGACGTTCCAGAGCACAAAGACATAACAAGGCTTTTCTGATATGTTGAGGTAATATTCTGATAATAAATAAATAAATGCTATTTGAACCCATGATATCAGAATTTGCATGGGATAGGGACACAACTCTGTGCTTCGGTGCCTAACTGGGCTAACTGAACCCCCCAGTTACATAGCACATCAATCATTGATACCAGTTGTTGTAAACATACATGGATCCATAAATACAATGTAAATCAAAACCCTGAAAAGTAAATGCAAATAAGAATATCTGATATGGAAATGCACTTAAGATCCTGAATAGTTATTCCAAATAAGAATATCTGGCATGGAAATATTGGCGTAAAAACCCTGAAGAGTAAATGCAAGTACAATATATGGATATTCATGGTCGACATGCAACATCTGACTAGTTCACTCTAATACATACAACTCCAAGCCTCGAACACGGCTCAAGTGCATATCAACATGGTTGGATTTGATAAAGTAGATCTGGGTGCCGTTGTACAAAACGATCTTATCGCTAAGGTGACTGAAACTCCCATACCTTAACATAGACTTAAGGTAGCCTTAGCGCTAAGGTTGTTTTGTACAACAGCACCCTGATGTTTACTGTCTGACTAGACATATTGGCATGATTCTACTCCCGAGTACCATCGACACAGTAAACTATGTAAAAGCATTTTGACTGTAAATAGAAACTATGACATTTCACGACATATAACTAGACATCATCTTCTTTGATTGGCATTCTAGAAGTTGGGTAGATGAAGAATGAGGATATATTTTAATGGATATACAACTTCTTTCACCACTTGCTTGACCACGACATTAGAATCTAGGTCGAAATATCGCCTATACAGAATAAAGAAGTTGTATATCCATAACAATAGTCCTCATTCTAGACATCATCTGTATATAAGTTTTACACACATTACTCAAAACAAGTTACCATCCACTATTTCACATGACTACGTAACGGTTTAATGGCTATTGAATATTAAAACACAACCTACCAAATGAGGACATTCATTAACTTGTTTTGAGTATTGTAAAAACATTTTGATTATAAACAGCAACTTATGAACTACATTAGTTTGCTCCTGAGCATAAAATAGGCAAGATTACATAAAAACATTTCTCCATGCCCACTGAACACTACCAAAATGACCAGTTCTGTGAATACGCTACACTTGCTCTGTCATTACTGCACTATATGTAGTGTAAATACTCAGGTAAACAGCTAGAAATGTGGCCAGCGATAAGTGGCAAAAATACCAAATAAACTGGATCATAAACATAAACACAAACATGGTCTTACAATAAACAGTAGATAAATACCACAACAAACAACACAGTTCTTTCACAAGTCGTGTATACCCTCTGAACTGTAGAAAAGCCATATTTCTATAACTGAAATAAATTCGGATTTAGATTCGAATGGGATACAACTTGAGTAGATAATACTCTCTGGCAGTGAGATCAATTGCTTCATTTAATTAACTTTCTCAAAGTACTCCTTGGAATCTGCTGGGGAGGGCTTGATGGTTGGAGAATCAGGCTGCCAGTTTGCTGGACACACTGTGACAAAAGACAAGACTCACCAATAACAAGCGTTTCCTAATTTAGAAAACTCCAGAGCTAACTGATAATGTTCATGTCAACATGGATATGTATAAATGTAGAACAGAAAGAATTTTAATCATTTGAACAAATTTGATACAATATCACAGTAAAAAGAACAGTTTTCAACCAAATCTTCCCAACACAGACATTCATTGTCGTAGCTGGCTGAACTTTCCTCTGGAAAGACAACTTGTTTGTCCAAGAATTCCCAGTAAGAGATAAGCATACAGTATTGGGAACCATCTCTACCCTTGAATTCCCCATAGAGAGACATGCAAAGGATATTGGGAACCTTCTCTGCCCCTAAATCCCCAAGGAGAGATAGATAAGTATAGGGAATGAACATGTGGAGCTGGTGCCCAACTCACTCCTGATGGACGTGTACTGACCTTCTCCATGTTTCTCCACAAACTGGAAAGCCTGGATCAGTCTCACTGTCTCCTCCACAGAACGTCCAACTGGCAGATCATTGATGGTCATCTGTCGGACGACACCACTTGGGTCAATGATAAACAGCCCCCTGTGATCCACGAAAAAGATACACAATGAGGACAGGCAAACATATTTAATCAGAATCGCATGTGTGCCCCACTACTTGTATCTTTTCAACACATTGTGACTGTTTATAAGACTGATCTTATCACTGCCTGCAACCTGTGGATGTCAATATTTGCAACCTCTACCTACGGTTTTTATGCCACTTTTAGCAATATTCCATCAATATCACGGCGGGGGACACCAGAAATGGGCTTCACACATTGTACCCATGTGGGGAAACGAACCCCGGTCATCGATGTGACGAGCTGAATGCTTTAACCACTCGGCTACCCTACCGCCCCTACATGACATTGACTAATTCAACTTTCTAAAAGTCTGTTTATGAGTTACATGTCCCCAAACTAAACCAATCAATTTGTATATTTGTGGAAATTACTGCCTAAAAAACAGTGCCTTGATCTACAAAGTATTCTCAGAGTTACGACTCATATGGTATAACACATTTATCCTCAGTCTTAGTAGAGACCTCTAATTTTCAAACTTGATCTTTGTTTTTAAATACATGTATCTCTTAAAGACAAATTTGAATTTGGTATATTCCACTCACATTTATTGAAGTTCAGGAATCAGTCCAGAACAAACTTTGGTACATATGTGACCTTCAACCTCCCTGATATTGATCAATTAGACTGACCTACATCAGTATGAATTCTACTGTAATATATGTCTTACCAACTCAGTTAAAATAACTGTTTAGCTTTCCATCATTTTGGTGGAAACTATGATGTGATCTAATGATGAGACAAAGTTCATCAAATATCCTGTGAACATGGTGAAAAAGACATGATGGTACTAATATGGTATATAATTACTTATCTGAATTTATTGCACTGACACAGTTACAATCAAAAGAAACTTACATTCATGAAATCTCACTAGATCATGTTGAAACTGAGCGATGAGAAGCACATCAAGGGAGACAACTCAATACCAACCTAAGTGCAAGCCCCATGTCCTCAACAAGCACACCGTAGTCTCTGGAAACAGACTTGTTGAAGTCAGCCAGGAGTGGGTACTTCAGCCCTCCAAGACCCCCTTGCTACAGAGAAAAGTAGATCATTGCATCACAAATACTGTGCCTAATCACACATGTAGCAAACAAAACAGAATACACTCTATCAAGCATTCAATGTAAACACTACTTTTTAGCTTCTCATCATATATATAAAGTTTTCAATGTAAAATTGTCTTGAAAAATAACAACCAAAATGTTTACATGGGTGCAAAAATGTACATGCACTGTTTATAATAATTAAATCCTTTTCTAAAATAATGTCCATGTGTTCATATTGTAATAAATATTCACATTAACCCATTTAGTTACAGTTTTTCTTAGTCACCCTCAACAACATTGGTGCTGAATAATAAGAAGATGAGTATGATATGAATTACAAAAGGCTATTTGTCTATAATATCCACCAATACTTTGGTTGATAAACACAGAATATCCCACCTTCCTGGGGGTGTTGATCCAGGCCAGGTGACTGAAATGTGAATCTGTTGATACCCCCTACCACCTCCGTGTTCAACTGGCTTAAAACGATCCATGGCATCACTGAATGCAATGATTTCTGTCGGACATACAAAGGTGCTGGAAAACAACAAATCACAAGATGCTGAGTTACAGAGAGCAAGTTTACACTGCTGAAGAACTGTCATAATATTGTCAAAACTTTCAAACCTGTTACCATTTAAAATGCTTAGCATTATTTAGCTACAAAAAACCCTGTTTTGCTGCTACTGGCTCTTTTCTGACAGCCATTTTGACCTGCAGTTGGGCAACATAACCGGCTGCCCAGTCAGCACTATTCACATAGTGAACGATGTTGACCGTTTTGTCCCAACGACAGATCTTCTATGATATTTTATTGAGTTGAAATGTTTCACAAAATTCTTATACCATGGTTTACTAACCTGCCCCCAAAATGACAACAGTTACCTTGATCTGTAGATACCACGTTCAAGAAATGTCATAATTCAAAATAAGTGCAAAACTCTCATTTACTTGCTCATGTTGCAAGCATTCACACTGAGGTGATTATTTTCAGGGAGTGAGCTGTCTCCTTTAATGACACTTTAGTGTTATTATGATCCTACTGTATTTAAAACTGGAATTATTCATGCTGCTAACATGTTTTAAAAGGGAATCCATTTAAAAGTCTTACAAGTCAAGAGGGTAGAAGAACAGGACAAGGTACTTCCCCTTGAAATCATTGAGTTTTATCTCCTTGAACTGTCCATCAACAACAGCTGTTCCTTGGAAATCAGGAGCAGGGTGTTGCACTCTTGGACTCAACAGCTTTGGTGCTGAACAAGGAAACATTTATGTTAATACATCGTGAATCTGGAAACTGAACCTACATCACTGAAAAAGAATGTAACAGGGAGCATACTCTTCAAAATCAGACTTGTGGGAAGTATACATCAAATGTTATACACTTTTGGAAAACATGCATAGAATTAAATATTTTTCCTGAGACGACCAACTACTATATACACGAGATGACAACCCTAAATCAAGGCAGGGATAATAGTGTTGAATACAATAACTAATAGTTAATGAATTTTTTTAAAAATAAATACAGAGACCATGCACCAATGCATGGTCTCTGATAAACACACTAATTATGAGTGAATATGTTTGAATTATGAGTGAATATGTTTTAGACAAAATAAAATGATCTAATCTACAATTGCAAACCATCTACCATAAGCCAAACCCACCAAAATTTGTAAATCTTCACATTTTAATGAAAAAAAATAAATGTGAACTTTATCATGTTTATAGCATACGGAACAATATGTGCAGTAAGGTCAACAACTAGACCAAGTCATTGGCAAAACATTTTTGCAAACATTTCTCCCAAACTGGCGGAATTTACATCAAATCATGATGAAAGATAGATGTGACAATGTAATGCGGATGGCATGTCTTATACAAAACCTACTGAAACAAACCATACGTCCATTACCTGAACTGAATGACCTTGCACAATTCACTTTTAGTCTGTGAACCTGACATTTTGTAAGTGTCGAGTTCGCCTGTTGCAAGAATGATCGCACCTGTGAATGGAAAAAATGCATTTTCAATGGGTAAATTTGGACAAGAAAACTGTAAGCTGTTTAATAGGAAAATTCGACTACAGACCCCAAAACTTAGAAGATTTCTCGCCATGCTTGTTGTGTGTTGAAACAAGAAACAGCCAGCTGACGACCGCGACCTTGAACTGTGGCATTACGATTTGCGGAGCATGAAACCGGACGATGGTGAGAATAATTGTAACATTTAGCTAACTTTTGAGGCGTAACTGGTGATACTGACAATAAAACATTTTACGTATGATGTTACTATCAATGTAATGTCATACGCCCTATTGTTAATGTTCACATTGCTTTCCAGTGGCAAAGTAAAGAGGAAAGATACCCGGTTTTTACACTCGAGAAAAAACTTCCGGCGTAAACAAGGGGAGATAATTTCAAAACATGTGTTGATGGTATGAGCCATAAATCAATGAGCGTGGTCATTAATAGTAAACCCACAAGTTCAATTGTAAAAATGTGATTAGTCGAATTTAAATTTCTAACGAATTGGGTATTGTGTGAAGGTATTGTCACAAAGAAACGGTCAGTGTATAGGTGATTTTGAGAATTATGTTTGTCAGACCTTCTTGAAACTAGATTCAACTAACAAATGGCGACCCAGGTAGTGTCTGACATGTCCATGAAGACTGTATTCCATACTGGTCCCGTGACAGCGTTATATATCATCAAGGGGCATGTGTTAGCAGGTAGGAAGTTTGAAGTTCACTCTGTAAACATGTTGTCTTAATTAGGGATTGTTCATATAAATAATGACTGGTGGAAGGAGGGGTGTGTGAGTGTGTCTGTGTCATGATGATGATTATTATGTTTTTTTTGGAGGAGCATGTACAATGTGAATGACCTCCCCAAGATTTATGTTCAAAGTGAGTGACCCCCCTGCATATCATGTACAAAATCATACAAACCCCCCACCCACACACACACACACACACACACACACACACACCAATTCCCCTACTTCCTAGAACAAAATGGTTCACATATTCTGATGATATTATTAGATAACCTTTTCAGCATCGAAATCAGATGATTGTATCTCTTCTTGCTCTCCTTCAGGGATAGGAGGCAGTGTGTATGTGTTTCATACAGACAGGAAGGAGCGGGTGGCCTTGCAGTATGTGCTTCCATGCAGGAACATCCATGGGATTATCAGGGGTAAGAATGTGGTAATGTATGCTTCATAGAATCAATGTAAGTGCAACTTTTAGTTGTTCATCATTTTTGCACATTCATTTTCCATTTGGATGAGAATGTGCCTTGTTGATAATCTCAGTTGATAGTACAGCAGACTCAATTATATCTGTTTTCAAATGATGCCTTGACATAGTCTTTAATTTGTGTTAAAACCTTGTTAACATTCTGATGCATTCACTGATTCATTATCACATCTGTCATGCCTATGTTCTTAGAGATTCTTCTTAGACATCTGTTCTCTCACTATCAACTGCTTGCCTTGTTCTGCTTGATTAATTACAGATGTTACTGCTATGCCATGATGTCTATAAGATTGTTAAGCTATCGCTGCCATGACCAGTACAGAACTTAAGTTTCACATTGTCAGATGAGACATGATTTGATAGCCACACAATGAGACTGTCCTTTATGTACAAGCCTTTGGAACTTGCTTAATAGTCTCTTCATAGTGTGACACTTACTTTTAAACCAAATAGGGACTAAAAAAATGATTCATTGTTTGCTTTGTTTAAGACATATTATATATATCATTGCTATCCCCAATTAATTGTTTCAGATTTAACAGGAAATATATTTTGTGCCTTCGGAGAGAAGTGTTTCAGAATTTTCTCTGTATCAACTGACCCTGAAATAAGGTAAGAACACTAATGCATTATAATCTTAGAGTTTAAACACAGTTCAACATGCACAACAAGTCATTAAACATTGTGAGATCGTTGAACACAAGCACTTTGTTTTGTGATTTTATGTGTTAAGTGCTTTTGTATCAAAGTGAAGAGCCATTCAAATTGTAGACAACCACCTGAGCACTCTTCTGCGAGGCATTGGAAAGACAGCCATGTGAACAACAAAATTATAATTATCAGTGATAAGAGTTGTAACATCTTGGATATCTTCACATATAGATGACACAGTTATGCCCACTGCAAATAAAGCCACCGTCCTATCATGTTCGGGGCGGTGGCCTAGTGGTTAAAGCATGTGCTCGTCACGCCGAAGACCTGTGTTCGATTCCCCACATGGATACAATGTGTGAAACCCATTTCTGGTGTCCCCCGCTGTGATATTGCTGGAATATTGCTAAAAGCGGCGTAAAACTAAAGTCACTCACTCACTCCTATCATGTTCTATCAAGTATCATTACCTAAGAGTAATGTAAATGTATACTAATCAAAAGAAGTTAAGGAACATCCAATTTTGTATATTAGCTCGACTTCTTAATGTTCGTATCTTGTTAATATGATGTCTATATTTATGTTTGTCAACCATATTTCAGAGTTGACTGTCATGATGAAGCCGTTGTCTTGGAAGACTGGATTCTTGATCTCAGGTTTATGGCAGAGGTGTGTTTATATTTGTGTTCGATCTTCAGTCCTTTCCTTGAAAAAACCCAACACCTATAGTCAAGAAATAATCAACTGTCTGTGGACATGTTAGAAGTAATGTTAACACTTTCAATGTTAATGAAACATTTAATACAATTGTCAAAATATACAATATAATTGTTTCAAAATAAGAGTAAAGGAAATTCCACTGAATGAAATTCAAATAGAATCATAACCGTTGAATGTTTTGACATTTCAGCCCAAGTCTCAGCGATGTGCTCAACTGGCTGTGACTGTGGCTCACAATGTGATTCTACTGTGGGACATAGCATCAAGGATGCTGCTAGAGAGGGTGGACTGCACGGAGAAGTGCATTCTGTATCCTTGTCTTCAACATGTCTCTGGGGCTGGACGTTTCTTGAATTAGTGTGGCAAGGGTAGAATGGTAATGACATGCTTAAAGTCTTGATAATGTCAAATGTACCATAGAGACATTATTTTGGTGTAATTACCCATTACAGGTTCTATCTAGACTTGCTCAGGGATGATATTTGACTCCAAGTCTACAGCAAATGATTGTAAAAATTCCCAGTTTGAATTAAAAATTCTTTTCTTTTATAATTTGGTAGTATTTTCCCTAGTAGGCCAGACAAAACAATTGTTCGAAATCCAAAATTAACCGCTGCATGAACTAAATTTGTGTATATCATAAAGTACGACAAGGTGGATTTTGAATAAATAAATGACAGCCAATGTCGATGTAGTTCCCTAGGTTATTATTCTTTAACTGTAAAGTTACTGCGCTCACTTTATCAACTCTTCCTGGCCCACCCTGGTCCTTGCTGCAGGGACAGTGTTCAATCAGGTGATCATCTGGTCCCCTCACAGAACTAGGAATGATCATGGACAAAGGGAGGTAATCCACAGGCTCAAGGGGCATCAGGTGAGTTGTTTCCATCCATAACAACCTATCACCACCGTGGTCCTGTCTCAAGAAGGCATGCTACATTTTGGAAAAGGATGTGGGCATTTTGTGATTTAGTCATTCATTTTCTGTAACTCAAGTAATTTTGTTGAAAATTTCTCAGTTGGTCTTCAAGTGTTGTGATAAGTTTTCTCTTCAGGATTCTTAACTGCATAACACCCTTATAAACATGATAGAAAACACACTGTTGTACACATTGTTGCATTTAGAATGTAATCATAGAGATGATTACATTATACATGTTTATGAAAAACTTCACAATATTTTGAGAGAGTGTATATAACATCAGTGTTGTCATCTCATCTCAATTCAGGGTGTGATATTTTCAATTGACTACAACCCAAAGTCCAGCATCCTGGCATCCGTCTCAGACGACCGCACAATACGACTGTGGAAACTGACCTTTCCCTCAGAGAGCCTTGACCCTTCCGTCTCAGCCTGGTGTGGGATGGAGAGTAGTCCATTGCTGACCTTGTATGGACACTCGGCCCGCGTTTGGGACATAGAGCTGCTGGCGGAAATCTTTGTCAGTATAGGAGAGGTAAGATAGTCAGTGGCTAAGAACCAAATACTGTGTTCTTGTAGATTCATTTGAAAACAGAGCTCCTTTCTTCTAATAGTTTAGGTACCTCTTGTAACAGGCAACAGGATATTCGAGTGAAATGCTGATTAAGCTGTTGTGATACTTATCATCTGCTGTTTCAGGATGCGACATGTATAGTTTGGGACTATGCTGGCAATATACTACACAAGTTCAAAGGTCACAAAGGTAAAGTTCTGCATAACGGTTTAAATTGTGGCCCATATTTAGTGTTGTTGAGTTACTATGATTGTACTACCTGATTGTATTACCTATGTTATACAACTTTTATACACAACTATACCTACTATATATGCATTAGAGATTAATGATTTATTTATACAATTTCAGGAGAAAAGTATTTGGAGTCTTGCCTGTGACAAAAGTGGAAATTTTGTGGTATGTAGAATTAAATGGTTGTATTGTCATTATTGTCATGCATATTTAAAATTTAGCCAAAACACCACCAGTACTGCCAGTGTGAAGTTCTCCATGTTTAATGTGTGCAGGCTATTGACATTGTGTTGCTGTCAACCCAAATGTGTGTAACACACATGACTGGTGCAGTTACGAACTGGCTTCAATATGTTTTGCATTTATGGTGTTTTAAAAACGGAAACACTTTGCACACTGTGTAACATCCCCATGACATTGTTCTCTACAGTAATATAGCTAGCTCTGTTGTCAGCCTATCGGAGTCTTATCTGTTGGTAGATGGGGCCTAATTTGTTTTGGTTTACGGAAACATTAGCATGGAATAAACTGCCTTAGAATCACTTACAACATCTATTCATATCTATTTATGAATATATTTAGGCCTGCTCTTCTTGTATTATAAAATCACATTGAGAGTTATGTTTCATGTATGATCTTATGACCACCATCAGGAGTATGGTCATTGTAAATACATCTGAAGATCAGTTTATACTGATACGGAATAAAACTGTGGATCAGTTTACAATGAACTACACACTGGTGAATCATGGCACCCTGACTCCTTATAGACAGGTGACACCTGTGACAGATGACACTGTATTTCTTTATTGCCACACCCTTTGATGTGTGACAGGTGTCGGGAGGAGGCGACGCCAGCATCAGGATGTGGCTGCTGGATGATGATGACCGTCACCAGGAGGCGCCACAGTTGTGTCTGTCTGTACCCTCTCACTTACAGGTATGTGTCTGTGTGTACCACAGGGGTTTGAATCACTGTTTGGACAATAATTTTTAAAAATAAAAATCTAGATTTTTGTAACTGTATATTGTTTTTATATGTTATGAGTAACTTATATTTCAAATTTGAACGAAATCGGTGAAGAAATGGATTTTTTAGAAAATTCTCCCGCTACACTTATTACATAAAATACACAAGGGATGACACTTCGCGATGCTCAGAGCCTGTTGAGAAACCGCACCGCCTACGGTGACTATTTTAACGCGTCGCGTCGATCAAACCTTACGTTTTCACAAAACAACGTGTTGAGCTTATAGAATTATTCTTTTGGCCTTCTGCTCATCGTATTTAGTTAGTCTAACTGCATTTCATATTTGACCACTGACCCTCGCGATTACCACTACCCTCCGTTTGAACAAACATCTGGCGCCCTTAGGTAAACATCGACACTGTCCGAAACTCTCGGACTGACTCGAAACACAAAGCGGCTCTCATTGGTCAATTTCCCGCGTGTGTGGGGAAAACAACAACAAACATGGCTGACAGGGCACTGAGAGGTGCCATCGATGGCCATAATCTGTTGATTTGGGGCCAGCGAGCGCAGGAAGACAACCTTGCACAAAGATCAGATAAGAGAGTCATTATCAAGCAAAGGCAAGCAGTAAGGACTACATGGCCACAACAGGATTGGCAGCCAGCTAACATCGATGGGGTTACGCTCCATCGTTTCACCGGCATTCTTGATGGGCGGTGTGTATTTCTCTGTTATTTTTTTCATTATTATCAAGGTTATTTCCTCCATATATAATTGTTGTGCGTTATATGAACACTTATACATTTGTGCCTTCAATGAGGTTATGACCGCGTTTAAATCTTGCTGAAAATGTCAGTCAGTTTGACATTCTTCGATATACATACGGAAAATGTACTGTCAGATGGGCAAAGATACGCACGTGTTTTATTTTCTTACATAGCACATACTCATTTTCGAACACCATGTTTTCATAACATAGTATCAAAAAATACTAAAGTCAGAATTGGGGGAACGAAGTATGAATGTATAGTAATCTATTGTCCATAGAATTTCCCAGTGACATAATTGGCACTGCATCATGATTTCATAACAAACATCTGCCTCACATAATGACAGATGTAAATCAAATATGTGTATATTGAAAATATTTCTTATTATAAACACGAAACTTTCATATAAAAAAGACATCAATGTTCGAGGGTTACTCCAACAAATTGATTCTGTATATGAATTATTTGTAAACAACATCTGATTGTGAATGGTTTTAACAGAAATGTAGTTCAATTTTATGTTTGTGAAAGTGTTCCAGAAGTTTAGATAAATTTGTTTCACTGTAAGGAATTCATATTATTTCACAATATTTAGTTTGCAATCACCAATGCAATTTTTTTGTGTTGATAAACTCGACTCTTTTTCCAACATCATTTGTCATCTCATGTACAATACTAGCAATATAAGAACTGTTGGAGTTATGAAATATTCATGACAAATTTAGTGTTTTATAGAAATGGGAAATAAATATGTAAGTAAAGATTCAGTTTGTATATGGTAATTATGTAATCTATCATTATGGACAATGAAAGGCATTGATAGATCACAGAAAAAATGTGTTTGATTGTTTTATTAATTTTGAGACCATCCATAGGGTTTATCCAGGAACAAATAGGAACAAACGTAACTGGGTAATGAAAACTATTTGATAGATGAAAAGCTATCTTGATACCCACTATCATTCCCTGGTAAGGGGTTAAGAGGTTGGATGGCTGTAGTTTCCTTTATTAGTACCAACAAAGGTTTTCTAATGATGCACCCTATCGTATAATGGATGTTGCAGTTTGTAGCATTTTGATTGTTTCAGGGGGAATATATTACTTTTAGGATTGAAAGTGAATTCATGTAACTGTTTTTTATGATTTTGTACTGAAGAAATGACATGAAATCAAAATGTTTCTTGATATTTTCTTGATACCCACTATCATTCCCTGGTAAGGGGTTAAGAGGTTGGATGGCTGTAGTTTCCTTTATTAGTACCAACAAAGGTTTTCTAATGATGCACCCTATCGTATAATGGATGTTGCAGTTTGTAGCATTTTGATTGTTTCAGGGGGAATATATTACTTTTAGGATTGAAAGTGAATTCATGTAACTGTTTTTTATGATTTTGTACTGAAGAAATGACATGAAATCAAAATGTTTCTTGATATTTTCCAACAAGCATATATATTTTGCCTGAAATAACTGCAGTCAGATTTACAATATTGCTGTGTATATATGAATATGTTGACTAATGGGGTAAGGTAATACAGGTATGATTAAGAAGTTAAAATGTAATTCATATATGACTGACTCAATAGATGAGATTGAGAATTGATTTTTAATGGTTTCATTGTTGATAATGCTTGAGGTTTTTGACTGAACTTCAGTCACAATTATTTCTATAAGAGTTTTTCAAATTTTAGAAATTCTCCTATACAAGGGAAATGACAGAATGATGTAATTTTGATTACTTTCACAATGCAGAAAAAAGCCTATTTGACTATGTTCCGCAACATGAGGATGGCGACAATAAGTTCAACTATCGTAAGGATGTCTCACTGATGTCTCACTATGTAGGCAGGTATTACTGATTGAAAATGTATTATTGAATAAAAGTATCAACATGTGAAATGTTTGTGTGTGTTGTATTATACTGTGGAAACTGTATGAAATATTGAATATTAAATCAACAATCATCACGAATTGATATTGAATTGGAAGTCATTGGATATAACTGAAAATGTTGTTGACCTATCATATTACATGTTAAATCTAAAAATAATCTATGAATTTACAGAAGTGAAATATTTTCCGTTTCCATGTGCTTGACATTTTTATAAGGCTGTCAGATTTTCATTATATTGCATTCACCACCTAAAATAATTTTACTCACCATGACAGAATTTCTAAAACCATTTTCGAAGTTTTCCAAACATATCAACTGTCAAAACAATATTCAGCTATAATTGCACACGTGGAAATTGACCAATGAGAGCCGCTTTGTGTTCCGAAGTCAGTCCGAGAGTTTCGGACAGTGTCGATGTTTACCGGAGGTGGCCAGACGCTTGTTCAAAACGGAGGGTAGTGGTAATGCGAGGGTCAGTGGTCAAATATGAAATGCAGTTAGATCGAACTAAATAATGATGAGCAGAAGGCCAAAAGAATAATCTACAAGCTCAACACGTTGTTTTGTGAAAACGTAAGGTTTGATCGACGCGACGTTAAAATAGTCGCTACTGCGGCGGTTTTCGATCAGGCTCTGAGCATCGCGAGTGTCATCCCTTGTGTATTTTATGTAATGAGTGTAGCGGGAGAATTTTCTAAAAAATCCATTTCTTCACCGATTTCGTTCAAATTTGAAATATAAGTTACTCATAACATATAAAAACAATATACAGTTACAAAAATCTAGATTTCTATTTTTAAAAATTATTGTCCAAACAGTGATTCAAACCCCTGTGGTGTGTACCCTCTCACTTACAGGTAAGTGTCTGTCTGTACCCTCTCACTTACACGTAAGTAAGTGTCTGTCTGCACCCTCTCACTTACAGTGAAGTAAGTGTTTGTCTGTATCCTCTCACTTACTGGTAAGTAAGTGTCACCAGTACCCTCTCACTTACAGGTAAGTGTCTGTGTGTACCCTCTCACTTACAGGTAAGTGTCTGTGTGTACCCTCTCACTTACAGTGAAGTAAGTGTTTGTCTGTATCCTCTCACTTAGAGGTAAGTAAGTGTCTTTCTGTACCCTCTCACTTACTGGTAAGTAAGTGTCTGTCAGTACCCTCTCACTTAGAGGTAAGTAAGTGTCTTTCTGTACCCTCTCACTTACTGGTAAGTAAGTGTCTGTCAGTACCCTCTCACTTACAGTGAAGTAAGTGTTTGTCTGTATCCTCTCACTTAGAGGTAAGTAAGTGTCTGTCTGTACCCTCTCACTTACTGGTAAGTAGGTGTCTGTCAGTACCCTCTCACTTACAGTGAAGTAAGTGTTTGTCTGTATCCTCTCACTTACAGGTAAGTAAGTGTCTGTCTGTACCCTCACTTACAGGTAAGTAAGTGTCTGTCAGTATCCTCTCACTTACAGGTAAGTGTCTGTGTGTACCCTCTCACTTACAGTGAAGTAAGTGTTTGTCTGTATCCTCTCACTTACTGGTAAGTGTCTGTGTGTACCCTCTCACTTACAGTGAAGTAAGTGTTTGTCTGTACCCTCTCACTTGCAGTGAAGTAAGTGTCTGTCTGTACCCTCTCACTTACTGGTAAGTAGGTGTCTGTCAGTACCCTCTCACTTACAGTGAAGTAAGTGTTTGTCTGTATCCTCTCACTTACAGGTAAGTAAGTGTCTTTCTGTACCCTCTCACTTACTGGTAAGTAAGTGTCTGTCAGTACCCTCTCACTTACAGGTAAGTGTCTGTGTGTACCCTCTCACTTACTGGTAAGTGTCTGTGTGTACCCTCTCACTTACAGTGAAGTAAGTGTTTGTCTGTACCCTCTCACTTGCAGTGAAGTAAGTGTTTGTCTGTATCCTCTCACTTAGAGGTAAGTAAGTGTCTTTCTGTACCCTCTCACTTACTGGTAAGTAAGTGGCTGTCAGTACCCTCTCACTTACAGGTAAGTGTCTGTGTGTACCCTCTCACTTACAGGTAAGTAATGATGTGACAGACTAAGAAGAAACTCTGACTAAAAGTGTTCATCAGAGATGAAAATTTATTCTTGGTCTGTTGAAACTGTAAGTAGTTGTGGCAGGACTGATGTAAGTCTATGAATATCAGAAACGTATTATATCTCAGGAAAATCATTTACTGTTATTAGAGATTAACATTATTTCTGGGCTATTGGCAGTGATTATTGCTGTAGATAAATGTTCTGAACACCCTGACAAGGGAGAAGGCAGATTAATGTTACCTTGTGTTTCCTCAGGGTGAGAAGGATGACTTTGCAAGGAGCGTCGCCATGTGTGGGGTGGACATTGTTATCATCATGACCAATGGAGGGTAGGGACAGAACAGTCTAACACTGGTTGTCATTCTTTGTTTTCAATAATTTTTGTATTTTTATAACCATAATGAATATGTTATGAATTAAAACATATATCTCATTATATAAGATTTAACACAAACTTATTGTCTGTGATTTGGTACAAGAACTAACCAATGAAATCCATAGATTCCATCAGGTGAATATGAAGTCATAACATTTGTTAACATTTATGCATATTAATTGGATATAACCTGACAGCAGTTATCTCCCCTTGTAGGTGTCTCCTGCAATACAGCGTCTCATCTCGTACCTGGACGTGTCTGTATCAAGATGCACTCTTCTCCTCCTACACTGTCATGGCTGTCTCCCCTAGCAACACTCTTGTTGCTATTGGTAACATAACTGGCACTGTCAAGGTCTTTGATGTTGGTACGTTATACATATTTTCAGGTTATTATTCACCAATTTGAAATAAAACCATCACATCCCAATTTAAACAGTCCTTTTCAAAAATAAAAATGACAGTTTTATCTGATTCCCAGGTACTTGTGAACTGTGCAGTGGTGGTCAGATGTTTGAAGGGAAAGTGTTTGGACTTACCTGGGTGGACAAAGAGCACCTGCTGATAACTGGGCCACAGGGGGTGATGGTAAGTTTGTCTCTGGACAGTCCATTTCTTAATTTCGTGTGGCTGGTAGTCAGATACTTATTTTAAGTATTAGTCAGATGTAGCTCAATTCCCTTCATGTGTATGTTTGAAGCCATATTCTGGTGTACGCATTGTGAAATAGCTTGACCTGTAAATCATGAAATTAATGCGTCATTCACGCTGGCCCCTAGCGACAAGTGCAACTCAGTATTAATGTGACCTCACCCTAACCCCAATGGAATATTGGAGGAAGAAATTGTTTACATGAGGGTCACCCAAGGTGTATTTTATCAAACCTGATTCCAGTCAACAGCAAAGAGCTCTTTGAATACACAGTGCCATTTAGAAGTGGTCAGCCATGGAGGCTGAGTGGGTTAGATGGCTGACTTTGTGTGCTAACTATTAGGTGTCTGACCCTGAGGTTGTGGGTTTGAATCCCGGATGGGACTCCACCTAACAAAAGTACTAGAAGAATCTGTACTTTACTGAGACATTTTCATCCCAAATATAACGTGTTACAGCCAAGAGCTCTGTTTGCTATTCCTGAGAACTAACTCTGTAAAAAAAAATCATGGTTGTCCATTATGTGATTTCACATTAGCATGTGAGTGACTCACTGTTATCTTAACACAGCAATAGCCAACCTTTTATGTACAGGAGACTGGTAGCTGCGACCTCATGTCACAGAGAAGCAGGTGGCCTGGACATCCAAAATACAACAGATTTGCTCTATTATGTTACCATGGTTACATCCAGGCTTTTATCTAAACACTTGTATCCACATTCTACTTTCAGTACATTCTGTCAGCCCCCTCCCTCAGCAAGGCTGCCTGCCTGACCCTGCCGGTTTGTAAACAGAGGTGGGCGTCAGCAGGTGCTCTGTGTGCTGACCTGGGGGTACTGGTGTGTGGAGACCGGGAAGGGACTGTACACTGCTACCACATCATCCAGGGGGCCCAGGTATGTGACAGTTGTCTCCCCTTGGAGTATGGCCGATGTCTTGCGTCATGTTATTGTACAAATCTGTGTATTCATTCTCCAGGATCACCTGGAAAACGTTTTCATTATTAGTCAGATTAAGTACATTATATTGAAGTACACTGAATCTTTGTTGACACTCTGTCAGAGATTCATCAACTTCATAGTCTTTGTTTTTAGGAAGCCCCCACCCTCCCATCATCAAGTTTTGCAAAGATTCATGGGAAGGCTGGTGTTACAGATGTCTGTTACCATGGCAACACTGTATACACATCTGGCCGTGATGGGCAGTACAGACAGTGGGACCTGACAGACAGGGAGCTCAAGCTGAGGAGTTCACACAGGGTCAGTACGCAGGTTATACCATCACATGGTGGTGGATAAATGGTATATTTTATAGGAGAGAAAACAAATATATTTTAGAGGATATTTAGGAGATAAACCTAGTGTGTTTGAAAATCAGAGACATGCTTTACTGAATTGATGGCGACTAAATTTCAATTAGGAACCCAACGCCAGAGCGTGAGGTTTCAATTGAAATATTTAGTCGCCATCAATTCAGTAAAGCATGTCTCTGATTTTCAAACACACTAGGGTTATCTCCATTCTACCATGAACCATTTAAAATCCGAACTTCCTCGCCTCTGCGGAGGAAGACACTCGTAATCCGCATGGGACGCAGAGGCGAATTGAACTCGCCTGTAAAGGGAGCGGTAGGTGCTGTTCGTTATTTTTTAACATTACAACATAACAATATTCTGTCCAAAGAAATCAAACTACTGTTTATTCAATGCAATTATGTAATACCCGAGATCTTGGGTTCTTTTTCATCCCAACTCCACACGACTAAAAACCAGCCTATTGTTTTGTGTGCGGTGAAACTGTACCCCCTGGCCACACTATAATGGAATCGCCCTGACCTACTTATTTTCTTGAAGTAGACAGTTACGCAACAGTTTGAAATGGCGGACGAGCCAGTGTTTTACATTTTGCGAAAGGTTGAAATTTGAAGTGACAGTGGGCAATACTTGACTGACTGTGAATCTGAACCCTGCAGAATCGAAGAATAGATCCTTTCCTGATCAACCTACGACCTGTAACTCACCAAAGACTGTTGATTTTTATGACCGACCGATCATGATTTCACGTGCATCTGCCTCCACCTCGCATGCGACAAAAGGGTGACAGTGCTGCTGCTTAGTGTACATGCGACTTAACTTGTGATTCCTTGGAACTTTGTTTTCATCGTTTGGGACTGGACTGTGTCCAAGCGTTTTCAAAGTAGATGAACATAACAGTGACAACCTTGCGGGGAAGCTGGCAGAGGGCAGAATTATTTTGTGAACGATGCAACGGGATATGATGGAGTATGACTATGAGTGGCATAAATGTGGTGTTTCGACAGACCGTTAGATCTATCTTGCAAATTTCCCATTCTAAACGAATTAAATATACCATTTACCAGGTAGGTAAATGTTTACTAATGTTTTGCTGCATATTTTGTATAGATAGGGATGTATTTTTACAAGGCTTTCTGATTTATATGTTAGATATTGTTTTGTTTATGTTTGGGGCTGTGTATTGTAATTGAGTTTGAATATTTTTATAATAGAAGGTAATATGATAGTGAGGTTCCCTCATAATTGTTGGGGGCGGGGTCATATAATTGTATTTTCGAGTTTAAATAAATGTTTTATCAGCATTTCCATCCGTCTGTTGTGTTGATATTAGTCATGTTGGTGGTCAAGCTGAAGTAGCGGCAGCAGTGTTCTATAATGCGCTAGTGAAGCGCAATGAAATCAAACGCATTCCAAAAATTTCCAATTGCCTATGTGGAATATTCGAAAGTCAGCGTCAAAATCCACGGAGTTGTTGTTAGGATCCGCCATCATTGTGGTCAAACGGAAGTAGTTCTCACAATAAGATTTGTCAATGCGCGGTGAAGCGGCCTTACAATCAGATGAGCGTCAATCCACAATTGATGCCGTCTGATTTTTCTGAACAACCAATCAGAATCTAGTATTTTCTTGATTCATGGTAGAATTATCTTTAAATGACCCACTGGAAAAGTTTCACTTGATAGATAACCACCCATTCCACTTTCTGAGCTAATACCTTCATTAATGTGAAAAATGATTGAAATCAATTCTTTTAAATAACTAGATTAACAGTAATACCTTCACAATCATTAACAGACTTAAAATGTGGACAACAGTACGTTAAGTGCAACCCTAACTCTGCCCACTGCATTAATATCAACCCTGTAAACAGCAGACTGCTAGAAGACATGGCATTGTTTGGTTTTGTTTATGGGCCAAGATTGGAAAGAAACTTGGAAAAAGGACCTGCGGTTTATTTACAAACAAGTAACTTTCTTATTTGAACTGTTTTATCTTAGAGATGTGAGATGTATGATAACGTAGACCGTGTACCCGGAGTGTTGTGTGGCAGGTGATGAAGGGGATGGACTGGATAGACCGGCTACAGGTGACGGCAGACGACACGTTGGTCTACGGCTTCCACTCAGTAAGTTGGACAGGTATAGGGGACACTCTTAAACAAGTCCCCCGTGAAGATGCAGGTTAGAATTGGTTTTCAGCTGCCAATGCAAGTATGACTGGGTGGTCAAGGTTTGCTGATTTCATTAATACTGATAATGTCAAGCACTCATCTGATGCAGACCATGTCACATAAATGAAATATTGCTACAATAAAACAAAAACCTATAACTGTAACAAGTGTGTCCAGCTATTTATTTGCATGAAAAATCTTGGGTTTATGAGGAATTGATACAATCAATAGAAGGAAAGAAGAAGCATTGAAATGTTTTATTCACCTGGGATTTGGGGACAAATCTTTTAAGGTTCTCATCATCCGTTTTTTGACACAAGAATTGATGGATCATTTGTAGGCACAGTGAGTCTCATTGTGTACTGTCATAGTGTGTTGACTTGTATTCTTGCTCATGCTGTCAACCACTTGTTTGTCTGCAGCAGACATTTGTGGCCTGGAGGAGATGTTATTGTTTCGGACTGTTACGGACTGTGACGTTGAAACAGCATTCACTCTCTGTATTGTGCAAAAAAAAGAGTTAACCCACAGAACTCCAGATAAGATTTAGCTCATGTGGGTAGTCTACCCTCTGTATTTTTTTTGAGTGGGTATTATGAATGTTGAGTGGGTATTTCATTTTCCATTACCCACTGCTTTCAAATATGTGCGTATTTCAGTCATTTTACTCACCTAAGTATATGCCATTGAGTAAGTTTACTAAGCAGGTATGTTCTGCCTTGTCATACCTAATCAAAACCAACATAAATATAATGGAAATGATTTCATAAAAAATCACTCATCCTATACTGACAGTACAACACTTGTCCTATAATAACAGTACAACTTTATAGCAGTCGATGTCTTTTTCATTAAGCAAACGATTTTTATAAATATATTCCGTACGCATTTGTTTTAAACTTTCTGCGTATCTAACATTTTAAATGCGTAATTGGTACGCAACAATTATTTTTCAATGCGTAATTCTATGCGTATTTTACCCAGATACGCAGCTTATCTAGGCCTCTGAACCCACATCATGTCAGCTCTGTTAGATTTCAGGGACATTAGATGTAAAACACTCCAAGATCCAACAAAACTAATTCTCTTCTAGTCTCGCTTTACGCTTTGGAGTGTGACACAGAATCTACGACTGATGGACGTTGAGTGTGGAGGAGGACATCGAGCCTGGGACTGTCAGCTGAACGGGAAGATCGCGAGGTTTGTTTACCTGAAGACGAAACACATCCTGGTCTGTGACACAACTTGCAGGTCAAGACAGGTCATTCTCAAGGTCAGAAACTCAGCAGCTTGAAGCATCTGTCCATCTTGTTTATTGAATGTGGACGTCATGATATACCTTCCTTCTCATAGAATCTGTTCCAAACATGTACTTGAGCAAATTTTGAAATTTGTGACGTTAAAAAGTGGTGTAAGAAAAATACATTGTAGATTGTAAATGTCCCTTTGTCAAATACACTGTTTCACCTGCTCATTTATAGATACTTCATTTGATTAGAGGGCGTTGGATAGCGTTGTTGTTAAAACTTTGGCTTGCCAGGTTGAAGACCCAGGTTGAGTTCAGATGGGTGCAATAAATTAATCTCTTGTTTGAGTCCCCAGCTTCGATATGTGGCAACTACTAATGTTTACACTCACTTGTATTTAATTAGTTTGTTTAGTGAAAATTCATAAGCTCCTGGCTTCAATTGTCTACCTTCATTATTACTTTTGTTGTTCTTATACATACATATGTAACCTCTCTGCATCGTAGTTTTCATTCATCTGGTGAAGGAGTAAGAGTATACACTGAAACGTTTGGTTTCTTTTAATTGACTTAATTTCTTGCATTGATGTGTTTCACATCGAAACACCATTCAAAGACATGACAAGGACTGTATTTTCCAGGGGTGTCTCCATGGCCGAGAGTTGTGTGATGTCCGGCATATCACAACCTACCGAGGAAAGGATGGTGAGTTTCACGTCTATTGATATTACTGGAGCCTCTTGTGTCTGGTTTCCTGATGAACATTTTAAATAATCCCTGGGTGATGATGATAAGGAAGGATGTTTGGTTGAATAATGTATCAACTGAGGCTGTGAACTGACGCCATTGTTTGGATAATGCTGCTACTTCAAAGGCGAACTGTTTTATTCTCTTCCAAAATACATGTGTTTAGTATCAGTAGTCATCACTGAATGGTTGGTTGTATACATCAGAACAACAATCTTGTGTATTTCAGGTAACTCTGTGCACATCCTTGCAACTTGCAGTGAGGATACGACAGTACAACTGGTGTCTATTTCTTGTATCCTTGTTATGAGAGTGAGTGAATGGTGTTTATTTCTTGTATCCTTGTTATGAGAGTGGAGTGGAGTGGTGTCTATTTCTTGTATCCTTGTTATGAGAGTGGAGTGGAGTGGAGTGGAGTGGAGCTACCTGGAAGTGATACGGGTTTACATTTTTTGAAAACCAGGAATACATGAATTGAGCTGAAAAACCTAAGAAATAGTAAGGGAGAATTTCAGATTCAAACCCTTTATCATAGGTTCCCAGCACCCATTTTAGCATGTAATCTCCATAATTTACTACAGTCTTACAAGGAAGCATTTAGCATCTGCCATTTTGTTAAAAGAATTCTGTATATATTTGAAAGTGAAATCATGTTATTGCTGAGAAATGGGTTAAGTCACACTTAATGATAATATTGTTAGCAGACAAGACTGTATGAATATATGATTATCCTTAGCTCATCCTCAGCACACAGGGGAATATCCCAACTCACAGTCCATCACACACTCCAAGGTCACCTGTCCACTGTAAAGACACTTGCTGTTAGTTCTTCTACCAAAGGTCGAGGTCATTTACAAGTTTGTGAAAATATAATCTTCTCTGCTGGGGGTCGTGCCCAGATACAGGTATGGAAGGTGAAGGTCAACACTATAAACATGTCAAAAGGTATCATCTCCAAAGAGAGTGACCAAGGGGAGATAACCAATGTGAAAGATGCAACACTGGAACGTAAGCTCCTGTTGAGAGACGATAGTCACATTTCCCAGTCAGATGGTGACAGTCCATGTTCCTATGAACACCTGTCCTCAGTGTTCCTGTGTGGGGAGAGGTATCGTGGGAACAGATCGGCGGATGGAAGTCAGTCGGACCCCGAGACGCGGGTGCTGTGTCTGACTGCTCTGTGTCTGAGGGATGTGTCTGTGGACTATCCAGACTCTTTATACATCGTGGGTGCAGCATGCTCTGATGCCATCGTCAGGTAGGTTGTGACAGGGCATTAGTTACCTTAATAACAGAGAGACATTGTCTAAGTTTCAAAAGGTAAATAATTATAACTTCTCAACACAGACCACTTAAGGGGATGCATACTATTCATGGGAGCTGTTACCCATTTAAATACATTTGTTACCACTTTCTGCATAGAGTATTGTTGTGGTTGGACGATGTGTTTTGCATTGATTAAATTGGAGCTTAAACTTTGTGATTTTAAATTTTATGCAACCTTCATACGGTAAACTAAAGTTTGACAACACATGTTGTCAAACTCAAGTTTGAGAATGTGAACGTTTCATCAACCCGCCACCAAAACCAATTTCAGAGTTGTCAAACTGAGAAATAGGATTGGTCTGTATTCTCACCAACTTTTTCATCAAACTTTCAGTGTTGTCAAACTTGAGTTTAACATGTGAAGTGTTGTCAAACTCGTGTTGCTCAGAAACTACCAATTGCAGTCAATGAAATTGTCATGTGATAGTTTGGTCATCTCGTCAACTCGACAAGTTTGAAAACAAGTGTGACAATTTTAAAATTTTAACAAACATGTGATGTCAAACTTTAGTTTGCCGTTTGAAGGCCGCTTTACAGTTTCTTTTGGCGGTATATTTAGCCTCACATAAAGATACCGCTGGAATAAATCAACAGTCATTCTATTTCAGGTTGTTTGGTTTTGATGAGAGCCATAAATCTTTGACACTCCTACAACAATCAAGTTTCCATGACAACTGTGTGTTGAAGGTCAATCACATCATCCACAAATCACATTCAAGGTCAAGGGTCATATTGCTGTCAGCTGCAACTGGCGGAGAGATTGCATTGTGGGACATCAGCCATATATGTCAAACATACGCAGAAACCTGTTCGTCACGTGAAACACGTTCACACCAGACACATATATCAGGACAAGAAATAGATCGTGAACAAATGGAAGAACACTTAAAACATAAGTCAGCAAATGAGTCAGTTGATTCTGAAAGGACATCGTCCCTGCTCAACTCAGCTGAAGATCGTAACACGACCGGGTCTGTTGCCGAGTCACGACGAGTGTACTCCAGTCGGCAGTGTCTGCGGACATTAGATGAATCATTGCAGCGTCCCATGAAGCCTGCTGCTACAGTAAAGTGCCATCAGTCTGGGGTGAATTCCGTGCATGTCTTCAGTCTTGGAGGTAGGACAACATGGTCGGCGATCTAACCCACTCAGGCATTGGGGCTTCCACAAAAGATGGAAGTCGAACAGCTGTTCCATTTTCGTTGTAGTCACAGTTGCTGTGTGGGTTAGAGTGCTGACTTTGTGTTGTGTAGATCTGGCGTGTCACTCTGAAACTGTGGGTTTGAATCCCAAATGGGGCTCTAGCCTGAAAACTGCAGGAATCTATACTTTACTGTGAAACTGTAATTCCAAATATAGCACTTATTACATTGACTACTTTCTAAATGGCATTGTGTATTCATTGTTGACAAGCCTGTTTGCACAAACATCATATACTTGAGAGTAATGGCAGAATAAGTATCATCACTATGGTGACCACTCATTACAACTAATACTCAATTTTACAATATGCAATGAAAAATTCAATGACACAATCGTGATCGTGAAAGTTCTTATTACCAGCCCTAATACAAATTTGCATGCAGAAAATCTGTTAAAATTGTTTTGTTTGGCATATATGTGTAAAGGAAACCTGCTACTGAACATCAATAAAATCAAATAAAATCAAATAAAATCAACTTTCAAATTGTTCTTGATAAATTTATAAATGTTCCACATCTTCTCTTCTGTTTCTGTGTCAACAGGTGATAGATACCTGATTGGGAGTGGCGGTGATGACAACTGTCTGACGGTCACTTCCATACACGTCACTGCTGCGGGAGATGGGATGGACGTATATGTGGAGAAGTGTTGGAAGAACGTCCACGCCCATGCAGCACAGATCACAGGTATATCTACCTAGTACAGCAAAGTGGAATATTTGGTTGAACATATGTATTTTTTAAACCAATATACCAAAGTTGGAACAAACTTGAAATCTCAGAAAGGTATCTGAGTACAGTTCTAGCTGATTTTATAGAGGTGATTGCAGCCCCTATGCTTAAGACTTGCCATGTGCATTTATAATATGTGTCTCGGTTTGTGGAAAATGTACTTGATCTGGTGTATAATGTCTCACATAGTCACTAGGCTGTGACCTCTACGGAACAGACTCCAAGCACCTGTACGTTTTGGATGAGAATTGCTTGTTCACTGTGTATTGCCAAGTCAAACATCTATAGTGAATTTTTTTTACATAAGTATAAAGGAAACAGTTGTTAAAGTATCTTCATAAAATCTAAATTAAGGAAGAACCAAGTCTTCACTTTCACTGTCATCTAGACTTGGCAGCTATTGTATATTTGGGTGGGATTTATCATGTTTAGAGCTTACTTTTGTTTCAGGGGGTGTATGACAGAACATTTGGGGCCTGGTTGATTGTGTTGTTTCATACTCTGACCATGTAGATCGTTGCTCATGATATCCACCCCTGGTTTGTGTGCTGTATGCTTGTTTATTTACATGACATGATGATATTGCTGGAATATTTCTGACTGTGGTTTATAGCTCACTGACGTATGACTTTAAACAACATCATGTTACATTTGTCATGTAATGTGTAATGTGAAATGTGTACTGTGAAATGTGATATGTGATATGTGTAATGTGTACATATTTATAGGTGTGTGGATTCTCTCTGACTGGCTTGTTGTTAGTGCATCCATTGATCAGAGGGTGTGCGTGTGGGAACTCTCGGATGCTGATTCCCATCATTTCAAGGTAGGTCAGCATCCTCTGTTCACAATGCATTATTATCTGAGTCTTGCTAGGCCACACATCAAACTTTTAGAATAATCTGTTCTTAATAATATACAGAAAATAGTCTGAATTGAAATTTATCTACAATGAACAAGCAAAAGTTTACAGTGAATTCAATGAGAGAAAATATTTTCAAATTTCGACATGTTAACTGTTATTTCATCTTTTAAAGTGTACACTTTTCTCTTGTTGAACCAGACATGGAGACATGTAGTCAGGTTTGAAGAGTTTCTGTGTAGTTGAAAGTGTTGTATGTGGCTGGTTACCATACATAATGATAATATGAACACAATGACTGTTTCTGTCCAACAGATGGTTGCCTGTCAGTATGTGCACTTCTCAGACATTTCAAACATGGACGTCTTTCACGAAGGGTAACAGTATTCTTGTTAATTAACATTATTACCAGGTACTTTAATGTGTTGCGACCGCCTCCGTGGTGTAGTGGTTAGAGCGTCCGCCCGGAGAGCGGAAGGTCGCGGGTTCGATCCCCGACCACGTCATACCAAAAGACGTTAAAATATGGTACTTGTTGGTCCCTGTCTGGCGCTCGGCATTAATGGGTACAACAAGGACTGGTCGGCTCAGAGTCAGTATAATGTGTCTGAGTGGGGTATTCATGCTTCACTGCGGCATGGTATCTCAGTGGGCTAGCACTATAAAACCAGCTTCAGTCTGGGCTAGTACAAGCAGCCGCACATACACATACACACGCATGCACGTCGTCATATGAGCGAAATATTCTCAAGCACGACGTTAAACCCAATTTCACCTCACCTCATCTCACCTAATGTGTTGCTCTAGACTATCTAGAACACATTCTGTACCATTTCTCTACCACCAGAACCAATGGAACATGTCACAGTACACTCTGTATAATCCTTGGTACAGGAACTGTTGTTGGTCAGTAAATACAAATACTTACACCCTATATGTTATGTATGGAAGAGTTCCTTTGGCTTGGGTCAAGGGGGAAGATGGACAATCTGCTTAAAACAGATGTTTGATAAGACATCGTTTCATTGCTGTATAATGATAAATCCTGAGATTTCCCTGCTGTCTGTAAGAAGCGACACAAGGGGATCTGATGGCGCTGGAGATCATTTGACTGTCAGGTTTGTCTGCTCCAAACTGTAGAGATGAACCTCGTATTACTCACTAACTCACTGTCATATGAGGCAACATTGTTAGGGCAATAATGTCTATCTGCGTCTTTAATAGTTCATAATATCCTTTGTTTACATTTACTTTCAGGTCTATGGTATACATGTTTCTGTGTGGCGAGGGACTCAACGTTTTACATATAGACACAGGAGAAATGGAAAAGAAAAAATGAGAAAACACTGTAATATTTATCAGAGAAAGAATAAACAACTCACCTGAGTATGTGAGCCTGTTTCATGCTGTTTCTTTGTGATGTTTCATCAGGATGGGTAGATGAGTACAGAGAGCAGGCACTCTATCAGCTTGTTACAAAAACGTCATGATATGAACACAATAGCAATTGAAAATCAAAATGAGATACAATCTTGTTTGTAGTCTGGAGCTCCTTTGTTGGTTCATGTTGGCAGAATGTGGAAGGAAGGTCGTTGGTGTTTATAAATTTGGTTTTAAGAATAACGCTGCTTATTTGGACACATTTTGGATTCAAACCCTTACCATCGGATCGTGCCAGCCAAGGGACACAACTCTGTTACCCCAGGTCTACTCCTACACCTACACCGACAATGAAATGTTCCTGATGCTCACATGAACCTATAAGGACTTAACTCTGTCCATTAATGACAAGATTAAAGACTATGACAAAGTGTCTTTTTTTAAATATATAGTACGTTTGTGATATGGTAAAACTATGACGTAAATATATTTACTAACTCCATTACAACCGATCAATCATCGAAAATAATTGGTTAGCGTCATTTATCAAATGTTGCTGTTATTTGTGTTAATGCACACAAAAATAAAGAAAAAACGTAGTAATTTGGGTTGTTTTGCAAATTGCATAAATTCCATTTGCAAATTTTGCATATTTAAATGATGATTAGTATGTTTGGAACACATATTTCCTGGATTCTTTTTTGATAAATTCAATCGTGACTTGGAACGAGCTTGTATTGCTTATGAAATGTAAATTTAATGACACAGACAAAACCAGCCTTGTGAAAAATATTGTTAATGCAAACAAGTGTTCAAAGATTGGTCGTGTTCGATTATGAGAAAACATGTTCGATTGCTTGGTCGTTTAGTCACTGCGACCAATCTTCGATTATTTCAATTAATCGGACCACCACTAGTGAACAGGGAAGTATATTAAGTCACATATGTGCCGTGTGTTCCATCATGTATTGGGAAGCACACAATATCACGAAAAGGGGTTGCTTTTTTACTCAAAATTACATTTGTTAAAAGGACCGCTGTCTTCGTCATTTGGATGTTCCATGATTTGTCAATTGTTCTTTGTGTGTGTGAGCTCTCTATGCAAGTGAGGGGGGGTTATCAATAACCCGAGAACAATATACAGGTACAGTCCTCACTGGAACCAAATACCAGTCACTCTTCAAATCTGTCTTTCACATTGAATTGAGCAGATGAGGTGTATGTGTGTGTGCGTGCGTGCGTGCGTGCGTGCGTGTAAAACAGGAAAAACAGGCAAGATGATTCTTTTTCTGTCATTAATTGCATAGTAATAGCGATACGTTACCGTCGTCAATTGTGTTAAGGACGAGTGTTCACGAATTGGTATCGTGTACGTTCGTTACTGATGTCGCCGTTTGTGTGATGTTCGTGTTGAATGATAATTACGATGTTGTCCAGTTTATCACTGAAGAGGTCGCACCTAAATTACCAAAGGGCGTTCTCCATGATCGATTGTAACCCCTCTGTGGTTGATGTACGGCGACATGGTTCCACCCACAGCCCCGAGCTTCAGACTGATGGCTCCCAGGTGTAGACCAAGCTCTTGATCCTGGCCCTACTGCGACGTTGTGTCCAGGCAGTGATACTGACTCCACGAAGCCGATTTTAATCGTGTTCATCTATCGTATTGCCAGTCTGCACTCCCAGTTCCGGAATAATTTACAGAAACACTCACTTCTCTGCCAAGACTCGATTATGTTTGGCTATATAATCAGTGCCCGATCCACAAACCAATCGTAGCACTACGACATTCGTAAGCCTATGATAAACTGTATAGTTACGACATTTCGTTGCACTAAGTACCCGTGAAGATCCGGGTTAGAATTAGTCTTCAGCATCCCATGCTTGTCGTAAGAGGAGGCGACTAACGGGATCGGGTGGTCAGGCTCGCTCACTTGGTTGACATATGTCATCGCTTCCCAAATGCGTTGATCGATGCTCATGATTGTTTAGTCCAGACATATAGCTGGAATATTGTTGAGTGCGGCATTAAACAACAAATACACAAACATTACGTTACGCATGTTTTGTGGATCGGGCCGCAAACTCTGATGTTTCTGTTGGCGTTACCTCAACGGATGTCGGTAGTGTTCCCACTAGGTAGACTCGCCATTAGTCACGTTAACGAAACGAAACGAATGCACACTAACAGGTTGCACACTAACAGGTTGCACAATAGCAGGTTGCACAATACGGACGACAGTGATCGTATAACATTCTCCAACCCTTTTACAGTATAATTCTTCCTCGGAATCAACACGCCGCCCCCTAACGTGGCTCTGTGGTCGAAGGTGATGCCACGCTCATTGCAAAGTCATGTATCTTCGCCGTGCTGCGTTCGATTTGTATCACGGAACGCGACCCTATACGTCTGTGAGCGATGATGCCTTGGATGTTGTGCCAAGATCGGAATTGGTATTTGTGGAACATGTCTTGCACGAACTCGTCGCAAATTGTTGGCAGTACCACTGATCCAAGACTGAATTGATAGTTTAAAAAGGACAATATATGTGAGGCCTCTTGACCCAGTTGTCCCACGTTGGATAAGCATTATCACCAGCTGATCAACAGTTCGAATCCACGCCCGCCTTGGATAATGAATGGCCTATCCTCACCATGTATGTGTTGGTGGTTCGTCCTCGAAAAGGGCTAATGTTCTACGTCTACTGACATAACATGCTATCACCGAATTGCTGTTGACTCCCAGTCACCCTCTTTCTCCATCGACGAAGCAAGAAAACCAGTTGTTGATAGTGTGAATAACGATCCCTGCCACATCGAGGTTGGGGTTACAGCTGACTGGGTGTTTGGGGATGGTGTACACATTCAGTGTGCTAAGCCTATAACAAGTTCAAATAAATACAAACACAAAACCGTATGATGAGATCAGGAGGCGCCTAAAGTCGGCACGACTGTCGATGTATCACCCAAACCCCCCAGATTACAGCAAGCCAAACTCCCGTGTCAAACACAATGATTCACCAGTGTTTTAACATCCTTGCACCCGCTTCAAATAATAGGTCAGCAATATCAAACCCGGATCCTGAACGTGATTAAAGAAAGCCGAACCAGTTAACTATCTTCGCGTATATATTGGCTATATTGGCTTTATTAAAGGTTTGCTAGCCAGCAGATGGAGGAACATGTTTAGCACCTTGACTCCCGATAATTTCCAGGTTTCGGCCCTCCCAACGCTTAAATTGTCTCCCTTGGTTTTTGTTGGAAGCATGGCTCTCGGCATGGTACCTGGGAGACAGACATAGTAACGTCACTGTCAACATTTTAGCACCTCAAAGGCAGATTGGGCTGTAGACTCCTCAGGGAGCTGAGAATGAAAATCGAATTTACTCTAATCCATCTACCGGGGTAATAATTGTCTCTAGTGTCTTAAGCAGTCGCTTGGCCCAGGTAATCAGACACTTTAATACATCTGATCAGATGGTTGTGATGTGTGACCTTCTGTTATAAACAGTTGCTCATGTCATCAGCCAGTGCCCGGCCTTGTTTAAACTCGCGGTTGATAGAATACAACAGCCCGATATAAGGCAACATTGCCCCTTAGGAGGCGGGTATATACCCTTCATCAAATAATCTCAGCAACATCATCGTAAACTCAGTTGATCCGGTAAAGAATAGCAGTAGATGCCGACGTCGAGGATGCAGCACCTTAGTGTCAATCTTGGTGTTCATGCAACGTAGCAAAGGTCACGTGAACTGATAATTACCGATCGATTTCCCTCTAATATGGATCACTGTCAACAGTTAGCTCTAACTTCAGACGTCAATACAAATGAGATAAATTGTACGTGATGGCGCTTGGGGTAATAAGGACAAGTATTTATTTGATGGAGATTAGTCATTTGGCCAATATTATTTCTTGACTGATGTGAAATCCTAGATAGATGTCCGAAACATCCGCGGCCCGGTAATGAGGTTCATCTAGCGCGTGGTCCATGTGGTTGATTCGCTGGAAGCTGTAGGGTTCACTGACCGACTGAGTATAGTTTTACGCCGCTTTTAGCAATATTCCAGCAATATCACGACGGGTGATACCAGAAATAGGCTTCACAAATTGTACCCATGTGGGGAATCGAACCCGGGTCTTCGGCGTGACGAGCGAACGCTTTAACCACTAGGCTACCCCTGTAGGAATCAAGGGAGGTGATGTAGAACTTTATAAAACGACGTTACACAGCTTCCTGTAAACATGATGATAGTATTCTACACCTCCCGATCGCTTCATTTGTAACAAGATGTACGTCTCCAGATGTCTCGTTATGGAAACATCTACAGGGAACTAGGCTGAGATAAGAAAGCCGTCATGTTTTTGCATATTTAGGTATGAATAGAAAATCCTAAATATTATACCGCCCACGATATTTGATGTTTGGAAATAAGACAACGTAATATGTTACGAGCTACTACTTTGCTCGTATATAGGCTTCGTGTCTCGGTAAGAAGATAATAGGCTAGGCTCCTGTCGCTGCCCCAATTACGATCCTTTGTAGTCAGTCCCATATCTATATATGTCCTGCGTTTCTCCGAGAGTTCTACGATCTGCCTCCATTTGGTCTTTCCTCTTACAACAATCTGATACTATTTAAAGCTGCACTTTGCACACTCATCCGGATAAATAGGGTTTTCCTATAATGACTGGTTGCCATATTGAAATGTGCACTGTGGGCGTTGATAACAACGAAACACAGTCATTGAACAAACATGAAAGCAGCCACACTTTCAGTAGCCCGAAACGACCTACGGCCCCTTTAAATATGTCTAAAAAAATATTTACAACTATAATGCACGGATACGAAATAAAGGTTGTGTGTTTGTTGTGTGACAGTAAGAGTCTACTATTTTCGTCTCATTCTTTCTTCATCATTTTGCTTTCATCTAGCACGTGACTAACGATAGTATCCAGTCCCATCAAAGTAGTTCAGATCATTTCACTTTTGTATTTGTCTGAGGACTGCAGAACGCTTACTTAGACCATTTTTAAATCAGAGAGGGACCTTGGATATCAGCCAGTGTTTGAAATCCTGAATAATATTTCTTCCAGGAAGTTCGGTACCCAGTTATGACGACATTATCAATTGGCGTCGCCTTCTGGAGCGAACCGACTCTGTCTGCTAGATAAACCCCCCTATAAAAAGACATCCAACTTGAAATCCATAAAATAAACTTTATTCAGACTCATTAGTCTCATGAAAGGTCACTTGTATCCAGTTTCACTATTGAGCCATGGTTACCATGGTAATGCCATCGTAATATCAATACCAACACAATATATTATAGGATTTCAGTAACATAACAATCATCACATTGGATCAAAGTTGGACAATGTGCTTTTATAATACCATTAAAAAGGCAAGCTGAGCGCAACTTATGTTATATTTGGGATTACACTTTCCCATCAGAGTTTCGAACCCACTCTCCAACACTCAGTTTATAATCCCGGATGTAACCAAGCCCAACAAAAGTACTAAAATATGCTGTTTACTGCTAAAGTGTAATCCAAAATATAACACGTGTTGCATTTGACCACTTTCTAAATGGCATTGTGTATTCAAGCTAAGCGCATTTTAAATTCTGTGTTAACATAATTGTGTGTATAATATAGATGCTCAAAGTTTCAGCTGATGCCCAATGTCATTTTTAAAGATAGATACCAAAATGTACTGTATCCATGAACACTGTCGTAGTTCCTCTTTGCGCCTTAAAACCTTTTCCAATCACATTGTTTTGCTTGTCTCATCTCACAGATTTACAACACAAAGTGTCCACAATAATTCCTAGCCACTGGAGGTCAAGGTCAAGATTATGGTCAAGGTTATCACGCCTTACAACCATTTTCCACAGGGCACATGGGGACGGCTTGGTCAGCTGGCTGGCGCGGGTGCTTCTTGGGGTGTACGAGCTTCGCCCGTCCCCACGAGGTAAACACTTTATCACCGAATGTTTAAATGCATTCCTGAACTTTGAGGACACAAGTCCATATATGATCGGGTTCCCTGCACTGTTGATGTAACCCATGATTGTTGTTGTTGATAGCATGTTTTGGTAAAACTCAAGTCCCAGTTCCTCGACACTTTCTGGGGGCGTAAACACGATCCAAAGTCCGAATATTCGAACCGGAAGAAGTGACACAAAGAACAGGATCACTATGGCAACCATCATGCGCACAACCTGCTTCCGGGACTTGATGGTCCTGGTATGAGCGTAATCTCTTGGTGATGTTTCTGAATTAAGTGTGAACATCTTTTGAATGATAGAAGCATACATATAAGTTAACATACACATAGGCATGATAAAGAATATACAGAATATAAACACGATATAAAGCCTGGGCAGAGTGTCAGACATTTTGGTTCGACACACTTTCACATGGGAGCCATCTTGGAATTTGGCATCCTCCAGAACTGTGAGAAAGACGAATGGTAGAGCTAAGATGTAAGCGAGCACCCAGATGCAGGTTACGAAGACGCCAGTGCTGGTCAGAAGGCACGTGTTCTGGTCTTTCAAAGGATGGCAGATGGTGTAGTATCGTTCAAAGCCAATTGTCAGTAACGTGAGAACAGACGAGTGGATTGAGGCGTTTTCCAGGAACGGGACCAGGCGGCCTGAAACGTAGATGCGTTTAAGAATGAAGGACTAATTTTGTGTTTTTCACTTGCAATTTTCTCTCAGGTGGCGATTATGGCACCATAAGGGTTTAGACTAATGCCGCATATATTTATGTCATTTTACTGACTTTAGCGAGTTTGAACTGATGAACCTGATAATACTGATAATAACAACTGCATTTCATTCAATCTTGGAGGGGCGGTGGGGTAGCCCAGTGGTTAAAGCGTTCACTTGCCACGTCGAAGGCCCGGGTTCGATTCCCCACATGGGTACAATGTGTGAAGCCCATTTCTAGTGCCCCCTCCCGTGATATTGCTGGAATATTAATAAAAGCGGCGTAAAACCCAACTCACTCACACACTCAATCCTGGAACTATGTCTGCCGTGTGCGTTCATTTGATATTTCGAAGGAAAGTGTTAGGGAATTAAATCTCATTCACAGGGAACGCACCTTTCTAACATGTATGACATTAACCAGTGGTACTGACACACAATCATTATACCGGAACACACACACACGCACGCACGCACGCACGCACACGCTCATCACTATCACGCCTGTGTGTCACAAATGCTTTGAAATGTCCGCTGAACTTCTTCAGGTTTAAAGATGGCCACCTCTCCCCCAATTAGATGTCACTGCCCAAGTGACCTCAGTGCAATCCTAATCTGGCATCGTCTCGTTACTCTAATAAAGCGAGACAGCTGCCAAAATTTGACATTAGCACTAACACGGGGAGACTTGGACACCGTCCAAATAATGGACGGAAACGTAATTTCGATGGTCAGTTATGAGTTTAGTAAGTCCACTGTACTTCTAATGGCAGCGATAAAAGGTCAAAGTCATCGCTAAGTTCAAGAATATCCGTCTATGGTCCGTTACTACCCATCCCGTGCCTCTCAGAGACGACACGATTGATCGACAGGGCCGCGGCAGTGCCTAGGTGCCTCCCAATGGCTGCACTATGCCGGTGCTCGAGTCTTTCACCAAAATGGCAAATTTCGATAGCTAAGTTGCCTCGTAATGGGCTTTTCAACCATAACATAACTCTGACATACCATGATACCACTGAAATATTATTCAAACCCAACTCACTCACCCACTCACTTGGCAACCAACAGAAAGTTTGAGTTTACTTCTGGCCACCCCTTCACACGTGTCCATGTACATATTAATGCAGGTGAGCAGTATATAGTTGACATAACATGACTGTGGGAATAAGGGCGACAGTGAGACCAGAGACTTGTTTGGCATGCTGCTCTGCGACCCGCTCATGAATGTTGCATATACAATCAGCGTTGATGAATATGGCTTAACATGTGCATACTCAAAGCTGTTTATGTGTCAATACGATGTCAACTGTAGCCATGGCTGCCGACGCCCTCTCTGCCTGAAGTGCCCACAACCTGCTTTCATCCAGGAAACATGGACTGTCTCCTCAGGTTATTTCAGAGATACAACTCTCAGGTGTCTGTATTTCAGTGAGGTGAACGACATTTGTAGTCAGAAGACCACTTAATGAAAGGGCATGTATACTCTACATATGCACAAAGGAGAGTGAGTGAGTGAGTTTGGTTTAACGCCGGTTTTACCAATATTCCAGCAACATCACGGCGGGGGACACCAGAAATAGGCTTCACACATTGTACCAATGAGGGGAATGTGGGGAATTGAACCCGGGTGTTCGGCGTGACGAGCGAACGCTTTAACCACTAGGCTACCCTACCGCCCACATAGAGGGAGAAAGCTTCAGAAAAGTCTTTCAAAAATAGTTTACCATTGTCTATCCAGTCTGGCGGCAAGTTGGAATTTATAATTGATAATTTCTACTGTTACACGTATAGACTAGATCTACTGGTACCTGGAAACTGAAATCCGTTGCCTTCTTCGAAACATCAGTCATGGAACATACGCTATATTTGTGATTACACTTTCTTAGTAAAGTACAAATTCTAAATTTGTTTGGGTTGAGTCCTATCCGGGATTCGAACCCACACCCCCAGAGTCAGACACCAAATCGCCAGCACACAAAGTGAGCCGCCTAACCCGCTCAGCCACCGCGACTTCCACAAATGGAAGTCGGACAACTGGTAGTCTAGACTGCGGACTTTGTGTACTTTGTGTACCCCTCTGATAAGTGTAAATTGGCGATCTGGTGCCTGACTCTGAGGGTGTGGGTTCGAATCCCGGATGGGACTCAACCCCAAAAGTACTCGAATTTGTACTTTACTAAGAAAGTGTAATCCCAAATATAACATATGTTGCATTTGACCACTTGGCATTGTGTAAACATCAGCCATGGAGACATACGGGGTTTAGAGATACGTCAATAAATTCCGTCGTCTTTCAGGCTTTTCGATTGGATAAAAAGAGCATTCGTAATACAATTTGGCCGAAAGTTGTGGCCAGAATTAAATCAGGAAATAATTATCGAGATAATAGTTTTAAACTTTAAAATGGATTTTAAAATCAGTGACTGAATTGGATGACATGGCTCAGTCGCCTAGTTATGCATTTAAATTGACTGTGCGAAGGTGCCTCCACTTTTGTTTGAAAGGAAGAGTCACCGATAATACAATCCTCGATGTCAACAAGTGCGCGATAGTTTTCCCAATATGGCAAACGTCTTCGATATTCAGGCCTCCCCTCTCTTATTGCACTGACAGGGTGTGATAAAAACGAATACGATAAAAAGTCAAAGCGGTTTCAAAACATTTAGGGGTGGTTGTGTAGTCTAGTGGTTAAAGTGTTCGCTCGTCACACCGAAGGCATGGGTTCGATTCCCCACATAGATACAGTATGCGATGCTCACATTGGAAAAATAGTTTATGTCTGCTGTTTCTGCCATCTCAGAATATCGCTAAAGCAACTCACTCACTCAAAACATTTTGTTTCACTCATTCAGCCAGTGTGTGTTATATAGGTGGATTGGACGGCCCAGAGTTCAAAGAAACACGACTAACTTTAAGAATGATATATACACATATACTTACACATTGCCTCTCCGATTAGCCAGCGGTCTTTGCCATAGAACTCCAACAAAGCAGACGGTTGGCATATCACAAGAACTAACAAGTCTGCCACGCTGAGGCTCATTAGAAAGAAATTCATCTGCGTGCGCATGGCCTTCATCCGGGCAACGACTTGTATCACCATCACATTTCCCAGAATTCCCACTACAAAGATGAGTACGTTTATCGTAGTAACGTAGACGTAGACGTACGGGGGTAGTTCCAACTCGTCCCGGCTCCTCGAGGAGTTTCTCGTCAGGTTTGTGCTTGAATAATCACAACAGTTATCTCCCTTCTTCCACTCACTAAATCCAAACGGAAGTTGACTTTTCGCCATGACTCCCAACGTCCCAGCATCCGTTGTAGCGTTCATTGGTGTGGTGAACAACCAGTCTCTTCAGCGACGTACATGCTAGACATGTGTTGGTAAATCAGCCTGGCAATTTTCTTCAGCAAAGAGATCCGCTCATTTTACGTCCCTATGGTAGCTCAACCTCCGCACTAAACGGCCTCAAACACTCAAAGAAACGTCGGACCAAAACGCCTACAGACAATAATTCACTGATGTCAGAATACGACAAAACCTGCTCCTGTTGATTGTTTTTGGTATCCTTAGATGGTATTCCACAGGATACGCCGGTAGTCACTTCAATATTGACGTGTAACGGACCCCGACTCCCATCAATCTGGAAAGAAGAGACAATCATTACTGCTGTGAGAGGCGCGTCAATCTCATACATTCCATTGCTACCGCCTTGAGGGAGGTTACTATAGGCTAGAATCCATATGAAATGCCCTACACGGCGAGAAAGCCACTAGGAATCCTCAGGATCAGGCAAGAACAGGTTAATTTAAGTCTTGTTATTTTTATGACTTACAACCTAGCACGATGTAATATTTCTCCTTTAATACCGGTAAACCGGATTTTCTTCTTTCCGGCATGGATTAAATGAAACATGTTTTCAGCAAACGCTTCGATCTGTATAGCAACGAACAAAGTCGATCCCAAACGGTGTTGATACTTTCAAATCAGTTCATCGTGAAATGTTCTTGTATTACAACTTGCAATGAAACATTTTTGAAAAGCCAACTTATCTATTAATATCAAAGCTGTTGTACGTGCAAAAACGCTTTGACTTGAAGACAGCACTGCACGATAAATGTACTATTATATGGTATAAAGTATACTAGGTGTAGTGTGCTACGAAGGAAATTCCTTTATTAATTTTACTTCCAATAGCATACGCTCAGTCGGCTCCATGGAGACGCTGTTTTATCTGAGCTGCTGATTAAAGGACTGGGATACTGTCGGAGTCATCAGTTGGATATATGTGGAATAATGAGTGAAGCTCATCTGTATTTAGCTGCCAATATGTCCTCAAAAAGTGATGTAAATGATACGCTGAAATTTCATTAGAACTGTATTATGAGTCTTACTGGCATGGGCTATGTGAAGCCAGCGAGACTGACACTATACATAGATAACCATTCACAGTCTGGGAAAAATACTTCCATTTCATACCATTATTGGAATTGAAACGTGAGTTAGGTTGGAAGTCTCTAACGCTATCTAACACGTGCATTGATTTATCCCAATGTGTAAAAGTTAACTGAACCTCACTGAACCTTGTTAGACATCGCTTAACCTCACTCAAACTCGCTAAACTTTGTTAAACATCGATAAACCTTACTAAACCTTGGTAGACATCGCTAAACCTCACCCAAACTCGCTAAACTTTGTTAAACATCTGTAGCGGCCATAAAATTTCCGAGTCCCGTGCTGGGATTTGAACCACGGACCTTCTAATCCGAAGTCGGACACCTTGTCCACATGACCAAAGAGGTTACCCCGTCAGCAAGCTGACAAGGTAAAATGTCATCTGTGGGATGACTCCACGCCCTGCTACACATCACTAAACTTTGTTAAACATCGCTAAACCTTCTTAAACATCGATAAACCTCACTAAACCTTGCTAAACTTCGCTTTACTTCGCTGAATGTCGCTTAACTTCGCTGAACGTCGCTGAACATCGCTTAACTTCGCTGAACGTCGCTGAAACTCGCTTAATTTTGCTGAATGTCGCTGAACGTCGCTTAACTTCGCTGAACCTCGCTTAAATGTCTTGTCAGTAACACAAACAGGCTCGGCGCTATAGTCTCCGTCATCTTTTCAATGCACAAACGTTAATCACAGTCACTGTAGTATTAGAACTGATACTTTGTAATTATTTCTATGAAGGGGATTGAGTTTATAGGTCTAGATACCCTGCACAATGTTATTTTTTGCTTAAAAGATTAGATGAAGAAGGTAAACGGAACTGGGTAACAGGTATTAAATGTTTTTTGTTTCCATGTTTTTAAAAATATATATGGAATTATCAAAGTGTTGGTGATGCTAGAATTTTTATGCATTAGTTTAATGAAAGATTACAATATGTTAGTGCACAAGACTGGTTTTCTAAATTGTCGTCATCAAAAGATTTTGAGCATTACTCAAATGTGAAATCTTTACTTAACGTGGAACGATATATTACATATTAAGAAGATAAATCTTTAAGACGTGATTTTTGTAAATTAAGAATAAATTTGCACAATTTCAAAGTTAATATGTTACGAAAGTAACTACTGCAGTAAGGGTCTCATTGAGACCGAAGATCATGTATCTTTTCTTTGTATGTAAATATTATAATGGCCTACGTTTGCATTATATTACACAACTCACAAATGTATTCCATGGCCAGTTAACTTTGCATAATATACTCAATTGCCAAAATGAAACTGTTATTAAAATCACTTCTATTTACATACAAAAAATGTTTATGTCAAGAAAAGCGCGATTAAAATGTTATTCTTAATTTCATTGTAACATGGGCCACATGGCCTACATTACCGCATAAAGTCTGTCTGTCTGAGTTTATACAAAATACCTCAAGCAAAAGCGGATTGCTGACAATCCCATTTTCATGCGTCATGACACCTTCATCGTCTAACTGTGGAAGTGTATTAACGCCACAGTTTAAACTTTTATTATCAGCTAAATAAAAATACTATCATGTATACCTTGACAGATACAAAATGTGTTTTTGCAAAGTATTCGTCATCATTATCTAGGCTGTGGACAGCCTCGTGGTTACAGTGTCATTCAAAAGGCTAGTTCGATGTGTGAAGCCCACTTCTGATGTCCCCCGTCGTGATGTTGCTGGAAGCGGTGTAAGCGTGGCGTAAATACCAATCTATCCATCGTCAGCATCTACTTTTAAGTGGAAACGTCCCACCAACACATCCCCCAGTTCGTTGAGACTATTTCATCATCAAACAGAGTTATGAGTTCAACATTACCCAGAACTGCCTGTCAGGAGAGAGGTCTTCCGAGCCTGCCATCACACAAACTAACTGGTCTCCCCTGCCTGTTTAGTGTAAGACAATTACGTCCAATTAGCGCCTCCAACTTCCAGGAAGACGTCATACCAACATGCACATGCGTGCCCTAATTGTGTGTTTTCGCTAAAGTGATGAAAGGGTGATGAAAAGTCGAGGGTCGTTATCTCGTGGTGTAGAGTGGTTGGCAGTTGCAAGGGGCAGCCACACTGGCAGTGTACGATCAACACCGGTAGTACGATCAACTCCGCCTCACACCACAGACACTTGTACAGCCACAAGTTGCCATACTTCATATGACTTCAGGCAAGTGGTATCGATCGAGCTGCTGACAGCATGGTTTGTTCAGCTCCCAAAGGGCGTTTTGATGACGATAAATATTCCTAAACTGTTTCCAGTATCTGCAAATGACCCAGTTCTTATGATCTGGGGTATAACTTTCTGAGCCGACAGAGGGAGATATGGCCGTTGAAAAAGTTGTCCACAACCGGGGAATATCCCAACAGAAAACCGACACAACATATAACACAGTGGAGGCCAACAAATGACTATTTTCCTTGGAATGTTCTGTGTTGAAGGTCATAGTGTTTGAGACGTTATTCCTGAAGTACAGGAATAAACAATCCTTAAAATTCTTATACAGTAGGACACATTTATGTTTTTTTTTTTTTTTTTCAGTTTTCAAGTCCCAGGTAACAATTCTCCCTTAGGATCACTTGATGTGTGAAATCACATTAGGGAACGTACACAGTGTCACGAAAATAGGAGACTCTTTTGAAATGTATCAATGATACAACCATTTGTATGCTGAGTTATAAGATGCCTAGCGGTTAGAACAATCGAAAAAAACAAACATTATCCGACATTAAAGGTATAATGTCTTTCAGTGGCATTTTTAGAAGTTGTACATTGATGTCCAAGATATTTTTATGGATAAACTTCTTTTTAATTTCTCTCACGACGTTTCGAGACCATTCCAGGTCCTCGCCCTTTAACTATAATAGTTCAGGGCGAAAGTGTGTTTCATTACACTATACATGGTGGTAGAGCGAACTGTATTTCTTAATTATAAATCCCTTCACAAATCCATTGACACCATTCTTCGGTTTCACAGACCCGTCCCTAGAAGTCTTCATTAAACTGGCCCCGAAAAGTGATATCTCAGCGGTCAAACCAATATCCCCTCATCTGTCATCTCAGCAATATCATATTCAAATTAATCAGCAACAGAAAGTCTGGATCGCAATCATAAACAAATGCCTTATTTACACCACCCAACCCCTTAGAAGAAATGGTCGATTTGTGTAGTTGTTTTCAGTTCCGTGACAACGTCACCAATCAAATGTAAACTCGCCAGAATTACATATGCATGTATCATAGGTCACAGGGTCAAACCTTCACATTCCTCTTTTGTCCTTTGAGACTATTCTGAAACCTACGCGCGTCTGGGATGTCGATGTGTGGGTCGTAGTTGTGTTGGGGTCGTCGCAGTGTCGGGGTCATCTTCATACAAGGGCCGCGTTGAGGGTGCTCTCACTAAAGGTCGCGTGATTTATGAGTCTGTGATGTGGCAATTTCCACTCTGATGCCACTGGATTTAATTCATGGACAGCGTTATTTGTATGGTTCGTTATATGTATTAGTGTTTGACGCACCGACTGTGGGGACTTATATAAGGTCTTCGATCTGCTTCAAATCGGTCACTTGACCTCATTTACATATTTCCTTTTATACGCAGCAAACATTGCCTCTGTTGGCTATAGGTTCTGAAAACTCGACGAGTCTTGGACTCCAGTATTCCATGGTTACGTCACCCTAGAGGCAGTAGTGACATTTAAATAAAAAAACAGTTTGCTAGGAAATAATTGCGTTTCATCCTTATCTAAGTATATTCTCGTGTACACATCCAGTTGGTGACATTTCGACAAAATGTATGTTGGCGTCATCCAATATAGAAAAAGGGAAATGTTACATATATGATAATGTGTAGTTAATGCTCTTACGAGTGTGGTTATGATTATATAGCTGCCGTGGTTTAATTAAAGCAAAACATGCACATTTCACACAAATTGTTATCACTAGCCAAGACATTTGAGAGAAATAGTGTGTTAAACATATTAAACATTTATCATTGTCATGTGACGTAAGTCGATGACGTATGTGCAGAGAATGTTCACCTTTGTGACATATGTCGTCGACGTATATACGCAGAACGTTCACCATTGCGGTTTACGACGGCCACGTATGTACACACAACTTTACCATGGTGATTTGCGATGTTGGCGTATGTACGCAGATGGTTCACCAT